TCTTTGTGTGTGTGTGTGTGTGTGTCTCTCTGTGTGGCTGTGTCTGTGTATGCGTCTATTTTTGTTTCTCTGTATGTGTGCCATGTGCATATCGCTCTTGGGCTCTCAACACGCGATGCTGCATGTTTGTACCCTTCGTGCTTCTTTCAAAGCAGGATGCTGGATTTCCATCCCACAGTCGGTATGGTCCTCCACGGCCTGCAGCCACCAGCTCAATCATTGGATCTGGGTTGTGCACAAAGATTTCGTTTTTGGAAACTACTGCATCGACTGGCGAAGCAAGTGAAATAGAAACATGGAACTGCTGGATGTCACAAGTGTCTGGGCCTCCCAAACCTGCTGTGTCCGATCCACCACTGCCTCCGGCCCAGCGGTTGCCTTCGGGAACCGCAGGAAGAACTCGTCGAACTGAAAAGTTCGATTATCACAACATCTGGCGAGGCCTCCAACATGCGGAGCGCCAGTGGGATCAACCTGCTCCATCAAGCATGAGTCACAGCAGGTTGCGATCTGTCCAGCCTCCCCATGTTTCGGCTCTTGCGCTGGCGTCCGCGGTGTGCTACGACCTCCTGTCTCACACAGTATACCACACAGTCTAGAGCGAGACAGCAGTCCCAAGCAGCACGTGGCGACAGGCTTTGAATGCTCACCGTCCGTCGCAAACAGGTCGGGATGTTGGCTGCGAGCTCACGCGCTACTTCCCCTTTGGTGAGAGGCATGTGGATCACATGTCACGACTTGTGTCACGAGAAGGAGTCTTGCCATGGGCGTCGCCGACAATGCTCTCGGGTCACGAGATGCCTTCAGCAACATGATATTTCCTGTACATGCTGGTGACATTTCGGCCTAAGGAACATAATAAAGCAACCCACGCCCCTCGGACAACGTCGTTGGACCTCAGTACGGCGCATTTCCAAGGGCCGACATAACTTGCAGAACGTTGTGAAGATGTGCAAGGCGGGAATTTAATGAAAGCAATTGAACAAGCACAGAATCTCGATCTTGACACTCGATCTTGACACTGTAGATCTCTATCCGGTATTTTCCGAAAATGGACCACATAACACCATACCCGGCAATGTGTGAGGCAATGTCTGAACACTGCCTTCGGTCTGACAGGGATTCCCTAGAACTGGCCACACCCAGTCTGGCTGGAAAGGTCAAGAGATGGATGTCGCTGACTTGCAAGATTCGCATCCGACGGAAGTGCCGGGCCAAGCAGTTGGCTGCTAATTGCTAGCGTTTGGCAAGAGAAAGCAAACCATGTAGGACCATGTATGATGATGTATGATGCTGATATCATCTGGCCGCACGAGCCGCCAGCGCTTCTGGCGAAGACTGAAATGAATTTCAACACCAAAGTGCACCGAAAGCAGGCTTAAGGAAGGCTACTCACACATGCTGCAAGAGCAAGAAACACATTGAACCACCACAGGACGGTTGTCTATCAAACGTACTTAGCCCCGATGCAGAGGGAAAAAAAGCAGTCGGACCGCACAGTCGTCAGAAAGCATCGCTGTTCAGCGCCAGCCCCACCCGCTACCCGCTATCCCTGTCGGTCCTATCCGCATATTACCTATCACCAGCACTGCTACTAGCACTTACTGCCACCATTGCTACTATTGCTACTATACTACGACGACTACTACTACTACTACTACTACTACTAGTACTACTACTACTGCTGCTACTACTACTACTACTACTACTACTACCATGATTACCAATTATCAAACAAAATAGAATATTACATCATATGCTGTATAAAATATGCTCCAAGGCTTTATGGTATAATACACTATTCTGTACCATAGCAGAATAGAGACGAATATTACAATCACGAATGTAAAGTAATACCCGTGAGTAATGCTAGTTGTCTTTTCATATTTCCCCCTAGAAGCTTTGCTTAATACTGATATAGTGTTCACTTCAGCATACAGAGAAATACTAGTCTTTTGTTTACTTAACATTAAATTGAATTGAATTGCAACATGTTTTGCAGTACTACCAAAACTGGAATTTATTATTGATGTAAACGTTTATCTATGGGTTTAATGTCAATATAGGATAGAATAACACAGTTTCTATATGATAGGTCTCATCAAATCTAACCTCATTTCAATACGGTATGTTGCTTCCAGCAGTATATTGCTTCGAAGCCCAATTGTGTGTAAAGACTTTAAACACTTGGCCCACCCGCCCCCCGCTCCAAAAGATGCAAAACAGACAGCCAAAAAAATAACCCCTCCGTAACTCCACACAGCATGGGGAAGGCTTGCAAATCAAGATTAGTACACACTCTCATGTAGCACCCTTCTCCTTTAGACGTAGCCTGTATCCGACATGTTCGATTTGGTGAAATGAAGCATAGATGGCCTAAACTCACCCATGTACTGAATTGCTTGCATCTGTCCGTGCGCTACCGGGATTACTGCAGTTACTGCTGACACTACTATTCGTAGTATTAACACACTTACAACTAAACGAAAGTTACGACGCTACTACTACTACTACTACTACTACTACTACTCCTGCTACTACTACTAAAAACTACTGCTACTACTACTACTACTACTACTGCGCACCGGGCTCTCTGGGCACCCGCTACCCAGAGCAAAGTCGTTGCGACGTGGTAGTGTGCGATGTACTGTAAATTACAATACTTTTGTAGTTTTCAAGAAACATGTATGTAGTACGGCATAGTACTGCCAGCAGCTCGTGGGCGGCAAACTAGTTGAAAGCCTTCTTAGTTGAGCCAAGAAGCCGGGAATAGTGTAAATACCGGTAAATTGTGTGCAGTCATGACAAGTTTAGGCATGAACGAAAAATTCGCAACCCTTACGGTGGGACTACCGTGCCGGAGTCCATGCACAAAGAAGGCGAAATTGCGCGACCCTTACCGTGGGACATGAGTCATCGATGTTTTGGTTTCACAGGGCTACATTGCGTCCGCACCGTTTTTCGGAGGATTCTACAATTCGGTTCCTCGATCATGATTGACGAAATGGGAGACCTACTTCGGGGGCCCAAAAGCTGACATGCATCAGCGCTCGTTCTTTACGAGGCATCGTTAAGATCGGTCTTTCGCAGAAAGCTTAGCAGCTTTCTTGCCACGTCTGCGCTTGCCCTTCTTCTTGAGTGCCTCGCCCGCGGTTCAAGTCCAATCCTCATCGCCGGTCCAAGCAGCCCGATCCTCATCGGCGGTCCAGCTGGCCCATTCCTCCTGAGTCCAACCATCACCGCCTTTGCTGCTGCTAAGAGCAGGAAGTCCACGACCCCCACGGCCACGTCCGTGAACCCTTCCACGGCCGTTTCCTGTGGCCTCCTTGATAGCAACCTTCGTCGAGGTAAAATTTGCAATCCTCTGCGGGGATTCTACTGTACGCGTCTGTGTCGCTCGTTTTTCATCAGCCCTTGAGGGAAGGCATGTCGGCTCCTCTGTCGAATGCACCAGTACTTGGGGGGAAAGGGGGCACCCGCGTCCGCCTTTCAGAACAAATGATCGGGCGCGACCGTGTGCGAGCTCGTAACAATCGAGGAAACGAGGTCGCACCCGGTCGCACCAAACCTTGCTTTCGAAGGCGACATTGGGGGTTATGTCGTTATTTACGAGGGATCGTGCACATTGGCCTTTATGTGCTCTTCCCGATTTGGATGATTGGGTTGTTGTCTAGCTGCCTAGCTTCTGCCGTAACAAATGATGGGTGCGACTGGATGCGACCTCGTAAAACACGAGGTCGCATGCAGTCGCACCCAACCCATCACTTGCAATGGGGGGGTGCAACGAGGCACAGCGCGGAGGGGGGCGGAGCCGGACGCAAGCACCAGCATGAAGCACTATCACAGACACCAACTGCACGTTACGGCCTCCAATTGCCCCAGCACTACGCCAGCGCCGCTGACATCAAGCCAGCGAGTTGGATGTACGACAAAAGGCGGAAGGGATGCTACATAATTTGAAAGTCTGATCCGCACCGGAGCCGTGCGAATTCTCCCCACCGCAGCCCCTTTGATGCACAGACGAATCAAATCCAACATTTTGATTCCTATCAAAGTGGCCAGCTAAATCAAGAAAGGATCTTGATCACACCCCGCGGGTCTAGCTGCTGCAGTGGCCTTTGTCATCCGTTGTTGTTGACAGCTGTCTGAAAGCATATGCCCATGCCAAAGCCCGACGCTCCCCAACCTACCCGATGCCACCAAATCCCCGGGTCCTCCGTGTGCAGGGTAATACCTAATCTCAATATCCGCTGCTTTCAGCGAGCGGCTGCCTTTGTCACCTGAGTCGCAACGGAAACCTCTTTGTCTCCGTACCAGAACTCAGAACGTTCAGTACTCAGCCCGCCACCCGAGACTGTATTGAAGACAGCTTTCAGTTCCTCGACTCGGAGACCCTGCAACTTGCTCTTGAGTTCGCAAGACGAGCTCTCTGTGCGGCACTTCTGGTTCAAGGCCTGCCTGCGAATCGAAGACATGCAGGAGCTGCCTCCCAACTGTATGAAGAGGTGAACCGTGGAAAGATGCAAACAAAAACTCGTCCCGCCTTAGCAGGGGAGGGTCAAAGGCTTCGTAGGTGAGCACGTTGCTCAATGCGTCAGCCACAGACTCCTCCAATTTCCGACTTTATTCACGTGCTTCCTTGAAGGCTGTCATTTAAAGAGTCCTTCGGAAACTTCTCCAAATGCCGCGCCACCGCTATGGCCTCTCGCATAGAGTAGGGATAAGAGATCGCGGTGCTCTCTGCCAGCTTCCTTGCGCGACAATGGGTATGATGGCAAGTGAACGTAATGATCGTGGCATGAATGCTGCTGACGCCTGGCAGCATGTTGGTCCTGAGTTCGGAAAAAGCCAGAGCCAGCTTGTCCAGGATCTGCCGCTTGGGGTATGTGGGAGCTATGTGGTGTAGAAGCGCCGTCTCCGAGCAAATGTCCTCTGCTGCGGTTGTCTCAGGGCGGACTAATTCAAAGGAGCAGGAAACAGGCTTTGTCAGAACATGGACTCTCAAGCCGAGTCTGCCTAGCGCTCTGCCCAAGTGTCCGGATTGTCCAGCACAACGGCCGCAAAAACGTCACCACACTCACGGAAAAAGTGATTTCCATGGAAAGGGAAGCCAGGACGATTTGCCAAAACCTGGATCGTCGGTCAATTCTTGCGTGAAGAGACGACAGCACTACAAATTACAGGCGAAGTTTACACACTTAGAATGACGATAGCAGCTGTCGGGTGGGAGGGGCAGTAAAATACGGTAGCAGGTGTGCTTCTGCCTCGTAGACAGACAGCTCTAACCCTGTCACAGTACTAATACAACTTGCTTAGGCGCCCGACCCACAGCCGGAAATCTGGATTGATCAAAATGTCGGACGGGCGATTTCCTTAGATGGCAGCACGTTCCAACACAAGAAGACGGTGGATGTCTCCGACTGAGTCTCGTTTTCGGCACAGTCGGCGCCCATCTCCCAAGAGCAGTTCTCCATCCTGCCGGTCAAGGGAATCACCGCACCCAGCCTCCGGAGTCACGGCGACCCTGTGTGACCTCGACGAGCGCTTTGAGAATTATCACCACTTCGATTGGCGCTTTGTCAGCTTCGTCCAGTACCTCGGCGAAGGGAAGTCTTGGAGCTAGTCTCGATAAGCTCATGGCCCCCACCCTGGTGGCATGGTCATGCGATATTATGTGATGTCGAAGCACACAAACCCTTCCATGCTTCGCAGCCCGTACCAGCGGAGCGTCTTCGTAACGCAAGCGGCCGTTCTGCAGCACTGGACGCACTGTCAGAGAACTTACCTCAAGTCACTCTGCAAGCCTGCGAGCACGTCGACACAATTGCACATACTTACAGCAGTGTATGCGAGTGTCAAAAATTCTCGAGCAAGGCGCTGTTGTGTCGCGGTGTAGCTGCACATACTCACGCTCCGCCTGAAGCAACTGCAGCGTGCGATCCGCAGCCACGTTCTTGCCAACGCCTGTCCGGGATTGCACAATGACTCCCGCAAGAGAGCTGTTCCGAGCGCATCACTACAAAGTCTGCGGCCTTGGTTCCCCAGAAGTAGCACTGCATGCTCGCCAGCCTCTTCACCTCAAGTTGGCCCAAAAGAGGTGCCAAGTCGAGCAAGGCACAAAGCAAAGCAGAGCCAAGTCACACATCAGAATTTGCCGAACTGCGCTCCTTGGTCTTGGTCTTGGAGGGCTTCGAGCTGGTGCCGGGACACTCTCTGCCAAGATCTGCCAAGCTTCACAGCTGCAGGACTGCTGAAGAAGCTTCGCGGAGCAGGAACCAGTTCCGGCCTTGAGGGCCGGCGCCGTCTGACTTGCAAGCCAAAGAGCAGGGCATCGTCATCGACGTCACTGACGTCTCTCTCGATTCCGTGCTTTAACGTGTCGAAAGCATACTCTCGCTCGATTGGCTTTAGCCATCCTTCCATAGCCTCTCGAAGCCGCACTGGCCAGAAGCAGGACATCATTGTGTTGTGCACGATCTTGGGCAGGGACCCTCTGTCAGGACTGATTGCCGCCTGGCGCACTATTCGCAGAAGAACGCGGAGAGATAGTCTCATCAGATCGCGTTCTCTTTCAGAGAAAGAGGTGTCGGATTGAGTGGCCAATGCTGCTGAGGCCATGCACACAACGTCCTGGCAAAGTTTGGGTGTTGCTCCCGGGACGAGCAGTGGCAGAGCTTCACCAATCTCCGCAGGCATCATCTCCGGAAGGAAGTGTGTAGAGAAGAGGCCAGCAATTTCGGGACTCAACCAACTGCCGGGTTCTGCAAGTGCCACCAGCCTGAAACTGCCTGCAAGCTTCTGTTTACGGCCAGCCGCGCCCTCGCATGCATGGTCCACCAGGCGTGTTCCATCCGGCAAATCCAGCTCGCGCTCAGAGCAAAGCCTGCCAAAAGCGGCAACGAGCGCACCGGCTGGAAGCCGATGGACCCCGTCCAGAACCACGACCTCTCCTGTGCGCGCTGCATTGGCAACTGGTTGGTCTGCCCATGCAGATTCTCCTGCCAGCGATTTTGCTCCGTCATGTCCGTCTAACCCCTATGTCCAGCCTGAGACTTCATCTGTCACTCGTCGCTGGAGTAGATCTCTGGCAGTCAGATCTCGGTGGAGATTGAATGTCTGCCTGCCACAACACACTGTCAGCGCAATCTGCGAATGTTTTCATGCAGACACATGCTTTTGCGCAGACACACCCCGAGACTCGTTCAGAATTCATCGTGCGAAGCTGTCTACACCCGTGCTCCCGTATCCCCATACACGAATGCAGGCACAGCTCTGCAACTGAAGTCAAGATGCCAGGTCTCAAGCTGCAATGACCGAATGAGAGCACTCTTACCGGCACCACGATGGGCCACAAGCAAAATATTGTTGCCAGCGGCCATGTCGGCCTGCCAAGACTCTTGCAGCATCCCCTCGCTTTGTGTGATGTGTCTTTAGCACTACACCAAAGCCTGAATTGCACGTGCAGTTGCATCCAACTCTGCTGTGCGATAATGGCCACATGACATCATCTGAGCTCCTGCAGGGTGTAGGCAGCGGCTCCGTCGCTCTGCACCGGTGAGCAAGTCCGTGTAAACTGGGACCAGCTTGCGTGCCTTCCTTGCCAGATTCGCGAGTATTCGCGTCCATACCCAGCTGCAGCAAGGCCTGCCCATGCACATCCCCGCTGTCGTAGCCATGCCATGCATGCATTATCGTGCATTGTTCAACATGAACACGTTCAAGGCAGGATTCAGTCATGCCGGTCCTGCTTGACTTGCGAAGCGGCGAGTGGTGACAGTTCACCATACTCCAGAGGGGGATAGACCCGCTGCCTGGTTCGATGCCGACATCACCCTTAACGGCCTTAACATACCCTGGCTACTCCAAGTGTGATCAAGGCTTTGCCGCCATTGCGGCCAGGTATCAGAATGCGCAGAGCATCAGGCTGAGCTGGCTTCCGCGAGCAATATCTTTGCAAGGCACTGCTTGAAAAGGAGAAAAAAGCCGTGTTGTGGTGGATGGACTGTCGCTCCAGCTCCTCGGACGGTCTCGGCAAGAAAGCCGCTGAAATCCGCTGAAGTTCGCCATGTGTGGAGTGTAGGAATGTGCACAACTTGAAGTTGCTGGGCCCAAGCTGCCATGATCGCTTCTGCAGCCATGACGACGCTTCCGGCATTGGCACCGAGTGGGCCCCTCAAAGATGATGCCAACTCTTCCGCTGGAGCAGAAGGCACCAAAAGCCTCGAGTGTTTGTCGTATCTGTTCAGTAAAAGCTTTCCAGACCCAAGCCATGTCTGCGCAATGCTGAAAATCATGACAGCCACTGCCAAGACAGGCAACGATTGAAAGCGTGAACGCAGCGGTGGGTCTAGAGCTCGACCATCGAACGGCGGACAAGGTGAAGCCAGGGCCACGACGCGGAAGTTCTGGTGAACGGCAGCAAGCCGGCTGGTGCTGCAAGCATCGCTCCTATAGAAGCGACTCACGCATGCACTCCACCCTGATAGAGCCTGGCCTTCTTTGGTCCCACAGCTCCTGGTTCCCGAATCATGGGCAACTTGTAGTGGCTTCAGAAGCTGATAGCGCTGGGCTTCAACGAGAAATCGACCATCTTCCAGTGACATTTCTCGGTTCTCCAGCCTGGCACTGTCAAGTTCCGCGAATCTTGGCCTCTGTCCACCAAAGAGCTCAAGCAACCGAGCAGCAGATTGTTCAAAGTCGGGAGAACGTTCCTTTCTGCCCGTTCCAGGCCATCCTGATCTTGCTGGCTCAGCATCCCCATGGGATATCTTTGCGGCTTACATCTGCAAGAACTCATCCGAGTTGCAAGCACCAAAATACTTCCCTCCAGTGCTGCTTTCACTGGAGGGGAATCTGAAAACGCCACACTTCCACCGCTGAGGATCTCACGTCGCCTTGTTCTGTTCTGATGCAGTCAGCACTGTCCACACGGCAGCTGGGCTTCGCGCTGCTTGAGGTCTGCCTCTGTTGTGTCTGCAGAGATGCTTACGTACTCGACCTCGGCATTGACCTGATTCGCTGGCATGCGAGTAGCAACTGCGCGCGGCCACGACACAGTTGCAGCTTGGAAGCCAGCTCTGCATAAGCGAGGGCCAGAAACCGTGCTCGAGTGCGCTCAGCTGGTGAAGTCAGTAGAAGCATGTCCTGGGCCAGCGAGTCCTGCCATGATCTGTGCACGTCCATAACGAAGGCAATGAGAATCAGTCAAGTGACAGAAGCCCCAGACAACCACCCCCGAGTCGTTCCCAAACGTGCCTTCTGCGCTAGCCATTTCAGTGCAGGTCGCAATGCAAGGGGTAGCTGCGCAAGAAATCCGCAGGGCACGAGAGGGAAGCGAGGCTCCTGCATGTCCGGTGCCATGGCAAACACGGATTACGACACTGAAAGACTCAAGATTGATCAAATGTCGAATGTTCGTTTCAATGCAGCACATCCGCTCCTCCAAAGGCCGCCGCAGCAGCGCTTGAACACCACCAACAGAGACAGTTCCACAAGCTGTGGAAATCGACCGGACACCCGGCAGCAAAAGGCTGGGGCTTAGCATCGCACTGCTGTCGGCGGCTGCCAAGCTTCGGACTGAGCTTGACTGCAAATCACACGGAACATGCAGGAACATGCATAAACGGACAAACGTTGGCAACCCCGTATGCCGTTTACACTGAAATCTAGGCATGCAAATCTTGAACCTTTGGTCGAAACTCTTAGAACGGAGGGTGGGAAGTGGGCGGATTGGGAAAGTTGTTCGAACAAGAGCACCGGCTGGCCGCGGCCGCGATTGGCCGCGGCTCTCCTCCAATTCGAACCCTGTTTGACTGTTTTCTGCCGGTGTCGGAGGCTCCGTGCACGCAATGTCAGGCAAGTCTGCCTGCCAAGGCTTAGATTTTTGGAGCCGATCTCTTGTGTGCAATCGAGCTGCGTACCTTCGAGGATCTGTGCGGCCCTCTTCACATGCTCGCTGGGCTCCCACAGCAGACCCTGTAAGAGAGCACTCCGCTCCACGTGCTCGCGCGATGCACGTTGCCGGCCTTGCGCAGCAGGCCGTCGTTGTGCACTGGTGCATCTCCTTCGCCAGCCCAAAATGCCCTGGCCTGCAATAAACAAAACCGCATCTGCCTGGTGCAAAGCGGCTTAGCGACAGTGAAACAAGACGGTGGGACCGCCATGCAGACATCTTTGTCGGTCCGAAGAACCTGCAGAACACACTGGGGAGGATGAACCTCCCTGCGACATGGCGACACCACTTCGGAAACAGGGCGCTCTGCGAGACATACTCTGGCCTACAAGACCTCATGCGGTTCGAAGATTTGGTGCTGTATACACATAAACGAAACATACATATCCATATGAATAGAGATACGACTATAAATATGTGTTTTTATATACATATATTTATACATGTATACACACCTTTATTTGTGTGTAAGTTTAAATACGAATATAAATGTAAATATACATGAGAAAAGTAATTAGAAATAGAGAAGAATTTAAATATATACATACATGAATGCATGCATACACGCATACATATATGAAATACATTACCTACAACCTACATACATACATACATACATACATACATACATACATACATACATACATACATACAGATGTGTACATACATATGTGTACATACATATGTGTACATACATATGTGTACATACATATACATAAGACATTTTATTGTGTATATATATATATATAGAGTATATGTATATGCATGCGTGCGAATATACTCATAGATGTATACATGTACGTATACGCATACGCATACGCATACATATACGTATGCGTAAGTGTAGAGGTATATGTAGATGCGTCTATAACTTTATGTCTGACCCGTTCTTCTGCACGCTCTACGTCTTCGTATGACTTCTGATCATCCGAATAGCCGGTACGTAGCTCATTTTTTGCACGGTGCCTCAACTTGGATGTCCACGAGTTTTTCGTTGGGAGCGACAGGAAGCATGCATTGCCACGTGAGTGGGCCTTTGTCGTGGTAGTTTTTGGAAGCCGGCGTGGTCCCGGTCTAACGGCGAAATGGCTCACCGTTGTCAAAGGGCGGAGACAACTGGGTCTTCGTCTATGGGCCCAGCGAAAACAGGACTTAAAGACTCAGACCTGCTTTAGCAGAGGTGTCTGGTGAAGCTAAGTCAGCTCCAAGAGTGTTCAGAAGTTTTCGTTTGCAGAGAACTGAGGCTGAGCAAGTCCGGCTGTAGCCTTGTTTTGAACTCACGCAACTGTTCTGCTGCCTTTGCTTCTCATCTTCTGGCCCTCGATTGTCCCAACATACTAATGGACACATACCTTCACACTGCGGCTTTCGGAAATGCAGAAAATGGAACCAGGTACAAGGCTTGAACAGCATGCGGCAGCAGTCACCGCTAGCTCAGAACTTGCGTTCTCGGAAGCTGGAAATGGCCCAATCTTGGCCCCTATGACAGCCAGCATCGTGGGCATCAGAGGACATGTTCTCGGCAAGAGATCTATCCACTCACCCCTACCGTGATGGGTGAGGTGGGACTCCCCAAGCCCAGCTCCTGAGGCCTCGACTTGGCGCAAATTTTGAGGAACTTCTTGTATTCATCATTGACTTTTTTCTAGCCCAAGCACACTGCAGCGGCTGCAGTGGCAAACAGCCATCAGGTCATCTGTTGCAGAAGGCTCTGGCAGGAAGGCTCAAAGCAGCAATGCCCAACGGCATCTGATTTCCTGTAACAATCTCGCTTAATTCAGAAGAACGTTTATACAGTCCAACGGCAGAAATGGAACTACTTTTCATGAGCGCAATACCAAAAACAGAAGAACTCATCACCTCGAGACTGCCTGCGGAACATAGGTCAAAACGTCGCCGTTGGCCTTTGGGCATCACGAACTTAAGGGGGGCGGCATGTCTGAAAAAACAGCATCTCCGAGCATACGGCTCGCACAGCAGAGATGACGAAGGCCTACTGCGAGGGACTAAGTCAGTCAGTCAAGCTCGCTCTGCTTTCAGCAGGGATCCTTGTCATTTCGAAGAGTGGCTGCCACATGAAGGAAGGCCTTTGCACGCCTGCGAAGACTGCCGTCAAGTGTTTCAACGACAGACGACAGCTACCCGGAATCGTTCAGCAGCTTTTAGGCTGCACCTTCTGACTGCCTCCAGCACGAACGATCTGTCCTGGGCCACGCATTTTCTGCGACTGATACGTTGCTGCCTTGCCATTGTGCCAGTGCTCCTGTTTTAGGAGTGGAGAGGCATGCCGAAGAGCCTGGCTGCAAACAAACACGAGTCACAAACACACGAGCCAAACAGCTCTTCAAAAGCAAAGGCACCTCCGCGGCTTGGGCTACTGCCTCTGCCACAATCTCCTTGTTCGCCTGACACTACCATCTGAGGCAAACGATCTATCGTGCTGCTGCAAGATGTTGTGCTACTTGCATCTAATACGATGCTGGTGGCATGCACTCTAAAAGGCCCGACGTGGAGTTAGCTTGGCTTGCTTGACTGACGCACGCTGCCGCGCCTCGATATTTTGGCTTGAGACCGGCTTGACTGATGCATACACGAAAACCACACCTGTATGGACTACTTTCCATGGGTTGTGATCCGAAGAGAAACTAACAGGGATGCAGCATATCGATTGTGCCCCTTGTGAATCCTTGTAACATAATTGAAATTCTACAGTGAGATCTGCATTGTTCTCCCCATGGTCGACCCAGATGTCAAGAACAACTTGATCACTGCGGTGTTAAGCCAGATAGCCGATATGGATTCTAACTACAAGTTACAAGAGAGCTGCAGTTGGCACAAAGACTCGCAGAGGAGGATGCCCCCAACCCCCACTACTAACTGCTCTCGTCAGGCTGGGCTCAAGTGCTCTATGCTTTCACTCTTATCTAACCTCGCCAGAGCACCTGCAACTCAGCAGGCGTGTGCACCAAAGCTTCGCCATCGTTTCGGAGAGCGGCGCACACGACCTCGATCATCGACACACTTCATGTCAATGTAGTCATCAGGCTTCGCGGTCGCTGCATTTGCACCTCGTGGTCTCTGCGCAGCGGTAGAGGGACAAAGCGCAGCGCTGTTCCACATTCGTGGAGCGCTGCCAGAACCAGCTCCTTGAACATGCGAAGCGCAAGAGACCGAGCGAAAGAAGGTTTATTGACTTGGTTACGTTGCATTGACATGGTTACTCTATGTTACATCGTCCTTGTCGCGCAGCAACTCTTCGCTGCAGTGCATCAGCATGCTTCCGGAGTGCTGCACTGCGGCAAGCGCCAGCTCACGGTTTTGTCGCAGGCAGTCCCGGACTTCTCCTTCTGATTTCAGTCTGACTTCAGGGATGCTCTGTAACTTTTGCTTTGCACAGCAAGCAATGCAAGGTAATGCGAGGTCCTACTTCTTGCAGCACGCGACCATCGCATATCGCGTCAAAGTCGGCGCCTGGAATCAAGCCTCCCAAGACCTTGGAGAGCTGAACCACTAGGAATGCTCTCACAAACCTCAAAGGGCACCTTTCAAAAGCACCTTTTTCAAGCTCAGTGGCCCGATCCAACGCCGCTGCCCAGGCAGGCTGAACCCTGGCAACTGCACGCGGCTGGGCTACATTCGGCTGCCTCAGCTCATGGACTCATGGGTCACAACGTTGCCTGACCATGGTCAGTTTGAGCGGAAGGTCGCCTTGGCTTGCGGACTGCGAGACAGGAAAAGCTGGCGGATGCTGGCGGGCTGCTCTTCTTGCGAAACGCTGCTGGCAGCGGTCCGGGACCCAGCGCCATCCCAGCCCAAACCAGGCGGAAGTGATCCCCTATAGCAGCTTGCAGGGGGTTGCACCATGTTGCACCCACAATAGCAATAGCACGTACGGGGTCGGCCTGGGACGGCGGTCTCGAGGCTGATGGCCTCCATCAAGTCCTCTGACAAAGGCAAAAACTCCGCTCTAACGGCTCGGCTCTCAGCTGCTCTCAACGGCTCTCAGCTCCTGAGTTGTCCAAGTTGCCTTGGGCATGACGAGGCACAGCTCCGTGTGATGGAGGCCACAGATCACCTCCCCAGCAAACGAGAGCCCTCACCTAAGGGGGCAAAAACCTCCGGCCTGGATCCCTGCAGGACCCTCCGGCATCAAGGATGAGTATGCTGCTGAGGCTGCCGAGGCCAAATACTTCGAGTGCGTCATCCCGCAAGGGCTCGCCATCACGAGCCCAATGCAACAACCTGCACTTGCAACACAGTTTTACATTTGGTACTAGTAGAAGGTAACAATACCGACCCGTACAATTGTATTGTCACCGGACGAACTTACATTGGGAGAACTGGCTCGCTGCTCGTACTGAAGCGCACTGTACGGACACAGACTACCATCCGATGACTCTTTCGTCCTCAATACAACCATCTGCTAGTAATGCTGCGGTGATCTTCACCTTTGGTGAAGCCCTGGCCAGCTGAGGCCACACAGAGCCATGCAGATGCCGCGCAGGTATTCAAGCTCACGCTCACAACCAGCGAGGTCAAAATGCTAGCAGCACAATGGCACTTCCACTACAGCCTTCCTGAACGAAGCAGGGTCAAGCTGGGGGGGACCTTTGCTCTGTTCTTCTTCTTCGCAGGTTTCTTGGTTGGCCTTGGAGATAAGTCTGAAGGGTCAACCGCTGCATCTGTTCACACACGTGCTTCCACACGCTCATGCCATGAAATGAGTCCAGCGGCTTCTTGAACTTGGACATCTCGTCTGATGTGTAGAAGTCCGACTGAAACTTGTTCTGCAATGTCATGCATATGTCGGTCAACTCAAGCACGAGACAACAATGACCGCATCCCCCGAGCGCACCCCAAAGTCCAGGGTCTGATTCTCGCTCATTGCTGTCAGGATCTGCAGCCTGCTGAAAGGATGTGCTGGCTAGTGCTACGAGACTTCACGACCGGATCAAGTGCCACAAGCCACAAGCCGGAGTTGGCCTCTTCTCCGGATCCCTCTCTTCAATGACTCCAGTGGGCACACCACCGATCATGAAGCCGCTCGGTGCGACCGAAGGATCGTCGTACCTCATGGGGCTACGGGCCACTTGGTGGCCAAGGCTGATGCAGGCAGTGAAACTTACTTGTCGAGGATGTCCGCCCCCTGCTTGGTGGGATCGTACTCCACCTGAGACCTCGCAGCAACGACATGTCTCAACATTCTCCAACACCTTAAAGCCCACATCTTCCATGGCCAGCCTAATGGCTTCATGCTTCTTCGCCTTGTCGGAATCTATCCTGCCATGTGTAACGGCTGGTGGAAGCTGCGGACAAGAACCCTGCATGACCCTGCAATGCTTAAACAGAATCAGACACAACAGGCGAGGCACAGATTGACGTTGGACAGCTCGTCCTGCCTGATGGGCCAGCTGAAAGTGGACTCTGCAAGGCGCTTTTCCACTTAGAACATCTAACTAAGAAGCCCGCGTTTCGACCAGGTTGCCATCCTTGTCAATCAACCGCTGGTCGCTAAGAGTCATCACCATGGTCTGGGCCAGGCAGTTATCAATCAAGGCTTCTGCGCGTCAATTAGTTGTGCTTCTGCAGTACCTCTCCCTCTTTCAAGGCTTCGGAGTCATGTCGTACTTTCATCTTTGGAACCTGTCATCAAAGCAGGCCACACAACTGAGAGTGGATCACTGAACACGAAAGATTGCTGTGCTTGCCCAAGGCTTGAGCAGACACATCTCCGCCGGGAGCCTCCTTCCTGTGAGAGCACTAGCACATACTAGCACGTCATCGGTGCTGCCATGCGAAAGAACGCTGCGAAGACGTCTGCAGCCTGCAACTGCTGTTGGCCTTGAAATCACAAGCAGCCTTTCAAACTGATAAAGACAAAGACAGTGAAGAACCTACGAGTATTGCGATTAACAGAAGCAACAAGTACCGCACAAGGCGACATGCTCGGGAGCGTTTCGCAAAAAGACAGGCAACAGGAAGATTGGAACGATCTCCAAGCCAGCATTCGCAAAGGCAAACGCGATGCACAATGGTTTACGGCGCCACAAATGGTAAGTCCAGGTGTTTTTCGAGAGCCCCACTCTAAGAATCAGGTGGCGTTTGTGCGGACACGGATTAAGGGGTTCGTGACAACAGCCTTGCCTTGGCACTGTATCAACCCACACGCTGAAGGAAAAGAACGGAAGGTCAAAGCTCTACCTCCTGTCCTCAAGTCAGCTGAATGCATTCCCACTCGTCTGAGACATCAATCGACAGGCTGCCTCTCGAGCCCCTGGACTGGGGGCCTTCTTCATGCAATAAAAGCATTGAATTTTCGGAAGGGTGGCGAAGAAGTCAGGAGCCATGGAATTCACAAGCTTCAACCGTTGCTCTGGCTACACGGACGTCGATTGCAATTACCTTGTGCTTGGAGGTTCGTCCCGTGCTCACTGGCAGGATGGGGGTTGGAGGGGGAACTATAATAGCACCAACATGAACGTGTTGTCGTCATGGAGGCAGTCTTATCGTTGTTATCATTGGCAGGTTGGCAGCATCATCGGTCCAGCCAGCCGCCCGACATCGTGAGAGCATATGAACGGCGTGCCCGACATGCTCTTGCTTTTAATAAACAGCACTTTGTCCTGTCTGTCCATCGGTGTTAGGTATCAGTGGCCTTCTTGTCTTGCGGCACTTAGTACTGCAGCGCTTCCACTGTGAAACTCCGTCCTCTTCTTGCCATCATCTTTCTTGGCAGTCGCTCCCTTCATACTTCCATCTGCGCCTCTTGTCCTGTGGTTGCTGGGGCAATGGGCAGCGACGAACTCTCTCGGTGCGTGCGCTTAGCCTGGCGATCCAGTCCGATGCGCTGCCCTTCCCCTCCTTTCAGGTTGGCGACTTGTTTCGCAGCTCATCTTGAACGTCGGCGCACCTCCTTTTCAAGGATATCCCCCAATCCGGCGCCTTGCACCAACTCCTGCGCTGACGCCGGTCGGGAGATGCGAAGGACGCGACGCGACTCAAAGGGTCCGAGTCCTCGTGGTCTCTCTTCGACTTGGCAGCCGCCGCCTCGCACTCAGAGGCCGAAGGCCGCTTTTAAGGCTTAGAAGCCAAGAACCCTCGAGGCCGCTCCGCCGCTCCGCCGCTCCGCCTTCCGCTTGCTCTCCTTGTCCTTATCCTTGGCATCTTCAGCTTTCTTATCTGCTGGAGCGAAGACCTCAGTTTGGCAATGCTTGGCTGCCTCGAATGCCTATTACTTGCGACTGCGTCTATACCTGACATGGTTAACCCATGCAAGACAGAAATCATGCTCCCAATGACCGGTGGACACAGTGCGCCGATTGAAGTTCTCCACTTTGATGTTGGGGGCTGGCTTCAATGCTTGGGATTGAGATTTAGGGCTTGCGAAAGCTTCCCTCATATTGAATCAGAAGCCGGTCGGGCAGGCTTGTGGGCTTGGGTCCATTCCACAGCCTGGGACCGGGCAGGATCGTTGGAGCTGCCTTTGGAACCTCAGCTCGGGAAGCTGCAGGTGACGGAGGTGGTAGGCTGTGGCGGACATGCTAGGCAGACGGCTTTGTGGCTTGTCCTCTTTGAGCTTTTGGATTCCGAGCCTGGCAACATGACCGACAGCAGGGGCACAGTGACGCGGAGGTAAGACATAGCCGGGAGGGCTTCTCGCGGAGTTTGTTGCTTTCTTCGACGGATTGGCTGATCTGACAACAAAGCGTATCATGTACTTGGGACTCCCTGTCGCGTTGGCATGACATACTATGAAGGCTTGCCGGGTTGGTGGACTGCCTCGCCCGCTTTCGGCGGCATTTTCCTGTTAATTGGCCGAGCCTTGCAAGTTGGTGTCTGCCGGAGAAACGGATTCCTCACATACCTGCCACGCCTGCGGGCTGCCACTGCAAAACAGCCGCAGGCCAAGCTACAGTTGGCCCAAATCTGATGAGCCAAGTGCCAGCACAACTTTTTCTAAACTATACACATGCATGACGCCAGGCACAAGGCTTGGTCGTTGTGCCAGGCTACGACCTTTTCTGGGCCTTTTCTCATGCTCCCTCACGCGAGCAGCTGCTTCCACGCGTACTTCACACTGGCTGAATCAAGCATTACTTAAGCTCGAAAAAGTACATTGATACTATAGTGGTTCCACACTTGAGTTACGACAACGAGCATCCGCTTCCAGGGCCCCCTCATCCAGACTTTCCCAGCCTGGCAACCAGGTTGCACATGCCGGAGTAAGATGCCGCACAGGTGACATACCTCGCCACGACAGTTTCTCCCAGAACTTTCATGTCGTTTATAGCCTCACGACACGGCAAGCTGATCAAAACGTCTTTCGTAAATTGGCAGCATGATGACAAAGCAGCGCCTGCCTCAAGTGCCATTTTGGCATGTGCCGGCTGAACGAACTGGATCAACGCATCTGCACCGACACCCACAGCATGAGAGCGCCGTCGGATGTAACCGATCTGCACGCAGGCGAGCGCAGAAAAGGATGCTGCAAAAAGCCTTTCAACAACTCGCCAACAAATATGCCACTACGATCCCCTACGTGCAAGGGTAACTAAGTCGCGGCGCAGCTGTTCGTTCAGACGGCTGGGATGCTCACTTTGCGCAACGCGAACAGCAAAACACACCTCGCAGAAGTGATTCTCGCTCTCTAATATGCAGTTTGGATGTGGCCTCACTGCTGGGGATGATGTTGCTGCTGTTTCGAAAACTGACGTCCGTTGGCACCTTCACCTGGTTCCCCTTGCCTACATCCCGCGGCTTGATCTTTGCTAGCTTGTGTTTTCCGTTGCCCCTGCCTGCAGCATCTAGCTTGCTTTCTAAACTTTCACAGTGAGCCACAACCTCCTGCACAAACATTGGGCCAGCTTCAGTCTGAGACCGCAGCAGAACATCAGTAGAATTGTGCCAACTTCACAAACCACAGCTCTGACGACCAGCTCGTCTAGACAGTATTCAGGCATGCACGTGATACGTGACATCGCAGGACTCAGCCTTCCCGTAACACTCCATGTGCTGACGCAGCCGTGGCATGGTCAAGTGATAAGGTACCTGCACCAGAGTCAGTGTAAATCCGAGGGAAGCATCTAAGGAGGCTCTGCAGTGCAAGCATGTGGCCGGGCGGATGATGAGCTGCGCTTCTGGGCTCTCTCTGCCACCGGCCTGGAGAGCCCAAGACTTTGCTTCACTCGGAACTGCGAGCCACGCTTGCACTTGGCTCTGCAAAGCCCCGCCCGACCTCGACTGTAGTTCGGCTGGAAAGGCCGATTGCGCGCACGCGGCTCACAGTGTCCAGGAGCTGCCAGGAGATGTGAGCAAACTAGCATGGACAGCAAAGACACCAAGGAAGCTTCAGTTGAAGGTTCACGCCTCGTCTATGCGCTGATGATTTGACGGTGTGGAGAACTCTGCGAGCGTCTGGATGCACCTCGGTGAACTCAGAAATTTCTGTCATAGTCAAGTTAGGGTTAGAGACGGTGAGAGATCAGAGACGTGTCTCAGAAACTGCTCCCCATCCACTGGCATCTGCGGCGTTGGGGATGACAGTGGGGCAGCTGCGGGGTGGTGCTGTCCATGAGTCAACGTCCAATGTGCGATTGTTACATATTGTTACTGGGTGCAGTGCTGTGAGCATTTTTCATACCGTGGCAAAAGTCCAAGAAGGATCTCAATTTCATTATCACTGCCATCGAGGACAACTCGCATATTTGGGAGTCTGGGAGAATGCTGAGCATCGCACTCCGGCAAATCGCCCACTGCTTCGCAGGCAATAATGCTCTGGATTGCACTCTTCAACCTCACCACACATTACACAGCCCTGTCCATGAGTTGAGGGCCACTGTTACCAGAAAACTTGCCGAAGCCATCACACCGCAAAACATCCAAACGTGGCACAACCTCTCGCAGACCTTGTCCATGCCGCGTTTCGTGAGAGCATCGCCCAGCGCAAACCACATCGACACGACCCACCAGTGCGCGAATTCAGAAACCGGAAGCCTCGTCTCCAGCATTGCATCTTCATAGCCTCCCGCGTACGGATGCGTGCGGGGGGAGGGCTTGATGCGAGTGTCTGGCCTTGTCTCTGAAAGCCAGCAGCCACCACGTAGAAACAAGGATCCGCCTTGAGATCTGCGAGAATCGGCGAGACTGCGGCGAGTCGCATCGCTCGCTTCTTGCCTGGTGGAAGCTCTCGGACTTGAAGGGGAAAACCTCACTCGAGCAGCGCATTGCGCCTACCCCTCCCGGAAGAACTCCCTGGTCCCGGCCTCCTTGAAGAAGGCGATCACGAGCCCCAACAAGCGCAGGATCGCCTCACATGCTAGTGTAAGACCCGAAATTTCTCCTCGACGGAGCAGCCTCGCGGTACCAGTGCTCTTCCTGGTCTCCACGTCCACGCCACCCAAATCGGAAGAAAAACGTACCTGTTCATGACAAGATGCGCCAGTGGCCTGCACATGATTCCAGCCTTGCCTCCTTCCTGAAGCATGCCAAGACCCAATCGGATCTCCTTGCCGGGAGTGGAGTTCCAAGCTACACGGAGCCAAGTGCATCTGAAGTGTCGAAGGATCTTCCTGGAAGGTCAGGGCCCAAATTCCCAATGTGGCACACCTGGGAAGACAAAACCAGTCAGCTCCTAGAGACCTTGGCGTATGGCGTATGAACCCATCATGCCGGCAACACGCAGCGCCGATCCCAGCAGCCTCGGAATCATCGCCTGTTGCACACCACACTGGCACCCGTTGCCACACACGAGATCTGACGATATCTGATACGATACTGGCGCTTGAAGCGACCACGACAAAGCAATGCGCACTTCTCGAGAAAAGCCCACGTGAGAATCTTCTGCTAGATGTCTCCCGGAGTGGTTTTCTGCTTGATCAGTGACGGGAATGCAGACATTTAGGCAGGTAACTACTACTGGATCGTTGTCACCGGCATCATAAAACTATTAAATCTTAAAGCGATGCTTGGGAGCACGCCGGCCCCCCCATGCGAAGCTCCGCCGACTGTCTGGAACATGAGCCCGAAAAACATAACTGTACAACTTTCAAAAAAGTGCAGATGCTGACGGCTTCTGAATGCTCCTGGCATGTCTATTCCACAGTGGCTCTGGCTACGGCCTTGTTTGGCGTTTTTCGAGGTCTTATTGCGGCGCTTGGCTCCTCAGGTTCGAGACCACTGAGTCTTGGTCGTGGATGCCGGTGACAGCTGAGCGTCAAACGCTGATTTGCTGGGCTCCGTCTTCCCAGGTCCTGGCATGTCGGCTTGGAGGGGCCTGGTAGGCGCTCAAACAACTTCGACGAGTAAGGCCACCACACGACGTTAACAAGCCGTCGAGCAACCCATCAACCGACCAGCCAGCCGACCAGCCGACCAACCAATGGCGCCAAAGCGACCTGCGCGTCTGCCATGATCACGTCAACCAATTTCGGACCTCGCCAACTGACAAAGAGCCAAAGGCCTGGCTGCTGCAACAAAGAAGCAGAATCCCACAGATGAGAGGCTTACACTCCAGGTCTTCTGGAGACTGCAGTTCCATCAGGTTGCTTGCCTGCGAACAGCCCGAGGAAGCGACTCACAAACAGTCATCTCCATGCGTCGAGCTCAGTCCAAGTCTTTTGTTTTGTGTGCCGCTGTCTTAGCAAACCGGAGCCAGACAGACAAGCCTGCCTGCACATGGAACCGCAGGTCGTGCAGCAGCAGAGGGAAGCCACCCGCCTGCGAAGCAGTGGTCCAACGTCATCTGCATTCATGCATCAAGACCGAAGACCTCAAACGGCAAAGTGACGCCGTAACCAGTGCCGCCATCGCCCAACTCCTGGCAAACTGGAGCTGTGCTGAGCGTCCCACAGCCGGGACTCATAGTCCACTCTCCGAGCACCCTTTTTGTTCTAGGCTGTGACAGCTATCACTCCAGGTCTCGCTGCGGCAACCCTGGAAAAACAAGTTCTGGCATTAGACTCCAGAGCTGCTTCTGTACGCGGCAATATCCGTAGCTGTCAGCACCATGCAGATCTTGCTTTGCTCTGCAATGCTCTGGATGTTCCCAGCCATCCAAGAAGGCTCGAATCATGATGTCGCGATAACTCCCATGATGCCATGCCAATCTCCCCATCTCCGACGTGCGACGGCAACAATCTCCCCCAAGTTGAAGAGGTTGACAATGGTTGACACTCTCGAAAGCTGCCATCTGGCGCTTCCCGGCCCACCAGCATGCGTACAACGCTGTAGCCGTCAGGGACTCTAGACGACCAAGATCTTACTGCACCACACTCGCAAAGCCCATGGCAAGGCGCAAATGCCGCTCTGCTCAAGCACGGGGTTGCGCTGGTCCGGCTCAACCGCCCTTGCAAACACCGGAACATCCAGGCCACCCGTGTCTGGAGTGGAAATCTGGCAGGTGGCCTTCCCCTCACCCTGCCGTGATTATCAAAGCATCACCTTTGGGCAATGACTGCAAAAGCATTCTCTGCATGTGCTTAAACACGTGCGGCTGAGCGGCCACCTCGATGCATATGTCGCATCTCACCCAGTCAGAGTTTCGAGATCTAGCCAGCGCTCCACTACCTGAGCCAGGAGACCATAATTATGCCATCTGTGCGGCAGTGCGAAATCTCAGGAATGACTGCAGCATCTCGGATCCCCGCATAGCGCCATGCCGCCACGCTTTTCATGAGACACTCCTGACTGTGAAGATAGCGGTGTTTTTGTTCTAGTATGTCCCGCAACTCCACTCGAAAGCACCGATGCTGCCTCGTTGAAGTTCTTCATGGCTGAAGACACCGCCTTGCAGGCTTTGCTGAATTTCGATTGAATCTCGGTTTGTTATAAAGATTTGCAGTTCGCCTGCAGATCGAGCGTGATGAGCTGAATCATGAGATCTGGCACTGACCTGAGCCATCGATGGCATGTTTCTGTCGTCTTGAATCCTGGGAACAGACTCAGCCGATGGCTGGAAGTACTGCACGTGAGGGAACATCGCCCAGTCGGTGTATTTGGACCAAAAGATCGAACGTCTGAGATCAATCTGAGAGATGGATATGCACAGGCCTTCTATCCTTGCCAAGGCCCAGGCTCCACATCCAGAGGGCCAAAGCCGTCAAAAAAGGGCGAGTAGGGAAGCCGGTCCTGTGCCACACCATCATGCCCGCAATGCCGGGGTTGCACATGCTCACAAGCTTGTCAGGATGCACCTCTTCTGCAATCAAAGATGAGAGTGCATGGCCTCTTCCAGAAAGCATTGCGGGAACTAGAATCGACTCCGAACCAAGCTGTGCTCAGATTCCAGAAAGGCCGACGAGTTAGGATCTCCTGGTCTGAAATATCCTCTCCCTCCATCTCAACTTGTCAAAGGAGTCCCTGTGTAAGCTGGAATGATGCACTGCTCGCGATGCTCGCGACGGAAGGGCCGACAGCTGTTGCAAGACTGATGCATTGCAGCATGTGGTGCCGGTGTAAGCTTAGTTCCAAAACGTAAAGATAATGGGCTATGGCTATGGTGCCATCAAGTGCCATCCTGTTCACAGAGACATGTGACGTGCGACGATGTGACTCCCGGAGCTTCCTCGGCACATGACTCGTATTATTATCTCCTGGGCTTGGAGCTTACAGGGTTTGGCTGGGTGAGGTACTCCAAGTAATCTCGGGGAGGATATCATGAGGGGGATTGAATATGATGGAAGTTGCATTATCGGCAATAGCTCACACATGGAAGGAAGCACATCGATAAGAGTTGTTCGAGGCTCTCGGCAGGGCTTAAGTGTGTCGAAACATTCCCAATATTGCCCAATCGACATCCCTTCCTCAAAAAAAGGGCAGGGTGCCTTCTCCAGGGAAAATTCTAGGCTGCTCCAAGTCTGGTCGCGTGTGCTGACCTAGCATAGCACTGCTGGGTCAAGTCGTGTCACTGATTTCAAGCAGTGACAAGCAAAGGCTTCAACCGAACACGCCCCAATGCCAGAGTTGGAAAGGAACCTCGCCGCGACTGGGAGGCGACATGAAAACTGAAACAGGAACACTGAGATAATCACAATGCCGAGGAAAGAACGAAAGTTGGCATGTTCATCGAGTAGAACTCCCAGAAAAACATCAAGGAGGTATCATAAGGGAATCCCACCTTGCCGGTGCAGCCGGTTTAGCAATGCTGTTTGAACATCTCCCCTTCCGTGCGAGGAGCTCACCACAGCCCGGAACTGCGCCAAAGACCGGTATGAGAGCGTGTTGTTGTAGACCTGTCTCTGCATCACACTGCATGAGCAGTAACGAATAGGCCATGTCTACATCCGAGCTTGCAGTATACAGTCGGGATAGTCAGTAGACTCAGTAGACCCCTCGACCAGATGGTGCGGTCTGCAATGCATGCCTCTTCTGTTGTGTCCGGGTTCCTTGGCTTTCGACGTTGCTGCAAACATCGCCGCAGCACCGGAGCATGCTTCATTGCAGGTATGGTTCAACAAGTTTGTGAACTGCACGAATTTCAATTTGTACTGGGGGTTCGCGTCCACAAAACGATCCAGAACGCACTCTTGCCATCCGCCACTTGTCCCAGGACGTGAGACCAGGACCTGCAAGGCACGTGGTGGTGCGCTTGCGAGATACATGTCCAACCAAAACGCCTTGACCCTCCTGCCTCTGAATTACGAAGCGGGTAGTAGGTAGCATTCGTGTGCAGGCCATGGATTCGAAGAGTCGGTATTTTGAGACCAGTTTGCCATGCAACCTGCAGAGCCACACAATTACCGGCAGATCGCTGCGACATCTGCGGGGCGGCGCATTTTCAAGAATCAACGATCAAGCAAAATCATGCAAGCCTCCTCGGCCAAGTACGCATTGTTGGCAGCCAGGATGTTCCTCTCACTTTTTCCCATTTCGACGAAAGCCTCCAAGAAGGACGTGCGGTCGTCTCGGTGGACATACTGCAGTATCGGCAGACCTGCACCAGGACAACCGACAGCCCACTTCCCATCAGAATTCGGTCTCGACTAAAAAAGTCTCACTCACTCTCGCCTAGGTAGGCAAAAATCGGCGGATGCGCGCCATGGAGCCGATGATGAGCTTTGGCCGCATCCCAAAGCAGCCAGCACCACACGGCAGGGATCGAACACATCCATACATCCTTAGAGCCGTATCGCCTTCTTCCCTCCGATTATATAGACACCACCAGCAAGCAACAGCGCAGCAATCGTCAGTCTAGCGTCGGCTTCTGCAAGCTGTGGCATCATCTCTTTTTGAAAACTCTCCGAGAGCTCGGAAAAGGCGGCATCCTCTGCCTGCGCCAGGGGAACCCAACGTCAGCAACGTCCCATCTTACGAAACACCGGGCCTCAAATCGTGCTGACCTTCGCGATCATGACAAGTTCATTGCCATCTCAACAAAAGCCGAGGCCAATTGACTCAGCCCAGCACAACCAATCGAGGTACTCTCGGTTTCGGCCAGATGCGCACAGCGATGGTCGGTAGTTAGCACACAGTTGCATGGCGAGTGAGTTGCCACGGAACTCGATGCGGTAGTCGTCATGAAGGAAGCCTGAGTTCAGCAGCCGCCAGCTCGCCGCTTGTGCAAGAGACAGAAAACAAAAACGCATCAGACATGTGGCATGTCACAGCGACGAGCTGCGAGTGATCATCGTCACAGCCTCACCGGCCGTCGAAGTGTGGATGCAGAACTGCCAGACGACGAGATGCTGCTTCGGAGCTCCGAGTCCACGCCACTCGTGAGGAGGACCTTACAAGAAAGAACGCGCGATTCAAAAGGCCTTTTGCAGGCACATGTCAGTATCCGAGACGTGCCTTCCCCGGGAAGGAGGAAGAAGGGAGCGGCCCCGGGAGCTGATTTCAGAGCCTCCGCGGTACCACGCCAGGCCAGCCGCTCCTGAGATCTCGACGAACGACGGTTGGGACGGGCCCGAGAGGACCGAGGACGAGGGGCGTAGTAGAAGGCTGAGCCGTACTGTCCAGGATGTGCATAGTCTGGAGCAGAGTTCAACGGGATCCAAGTACCGCCGGCGTGGAAGTTCACCTCCGGTAGAAGTGGCCCGCATCTCGTGCATGTCACCTGGTCGCCTGTCCTCCTACCTCTACACGGTCTTTCCCATGGATCTTCCTGCAGATAAGCATCCAGCACGAGGAATGAAGAGACCGGCCAGGAAGAAGACTCCAAGAAGTCAAAGGAATGATAGTGGCCTTCAGGTTGAAGCGCGTTTGGAACGGCGAGAATTAGAAGAACCGAACTGCCTAGAAGGTGCCGCGCGGTGTAGACACGTCGCAAAGCGTCTCCGACCTCTCCGACAGAGAGGCATCAGACTCAGAAAGTTCCAGTGTGAGAGTCTGAGTCAGTCTGAGTACTGCGCATGCTCTGGGAGCTTGTGCCAGGCGAGCACCATCAGGGCCGTCAGATATCCATACAAACAGAAGCCCGAGGGTGCCTTGCAGAAGACAGTCGCAAAAGCACTGCAAAAGCGCACGGCCCGACACCTGAAGTGCTTGGTATTCAGTCTTGGTATTCTCAAAATAGTGCCTGATGAGGTAGCGCCTCTGCGTGATAGCATGCTTCAATTGTGACTGCTAGCTGCAAGAGAAACTGTGGGAAGCACTCGAAGTTGTTTGAGTCGCGACCTAAGTGTGCTCTGCATTGTTGCGCGTGTTGCATCTCATGAAGCCTAAAGCCAACCATCAACGCTGGCACTCCTTGCCAAAATGTCTTCCCGACATGCTTCCACCCTGTAACACTTATGTAAGGCTGGAGCAATCTCTGTGCAATTCGGCGACGAAGTCAAAGCCAAGCTCTGAGCTGCTGCGGCACTCCTCCCCTTAGTCGATCGCACACTACACATGTCGCATGCGAAACTTCATTCCTGAACGGTGACCCACTGAAGCTCAAGCTTCCCGACGCCAGAGATTTGACATGGCTTCTAATGGGTGAATCTGGAGATATCTGAAGCGAATGCTTTCCTCGACCCTGACGTTTTGATACCTTTTGCGCAGTTTGCGATATTAGCAGCACCCGGTGCACAAGCTCTGAGGCTGGCTAGCCATGCCACCGGCGTGCCAGAAGAGATTGGAGCAGATGTTCCGGCCAGAGTAAAAACGAATAAATGTGTGCAGGAGGGGAGCTCAAAATCAAGATGACATCTTCTGCCCTCAATCGATAGTCACTGATACTGGGCACATCATGGAGCAGCAGACGACCGACATGAAAAAGAGCGGAGCCGGACGCACTCCGTTGAGACCCATTGCTGCAGCGTTCACTGCACATGACCCCAAGGACTGCCAGGCCCACGTCAGGTCAAGTCACCGACACGAAGAGCTGCACACGGACGTCTGTATAATCTGTTGGTTTAGGAAACATGAGCCAAACCGAGGGAAGGAGAAGCCAGCCAATCAAACACGCGACGCATCGAGGCATATCCGGTCGCTGCCGGCTGTCATAGTTGGGGTTTTCTCCGGGTTATTCCTTCTTCTTTGAATCGTTTCTCGGCCTTTGATCGTTCCTCTCTTTGATGATACTGGTAGTTTGCTTTACTGGGGTCTCCAACCTGGTCCACAACTTCCGAAGATGATGAGGTGTTCCGTCTGGATGCATTGATTTTTTAATGCAATGTCGACGCATGGAAACTGATTTGGATGGCCAGACTGGATATCAGTGTCCAATGCAAGCCTCTTCGTCGGGCTGGCACTTGCATGGACAGCCATCTCCTGCTGATCATCCTCGCTGACTATCATTCCGAAAGCAGTAGCTGCAGTAACATTGATGACGCCATTACGCAGAACCCTTCCTCAGGTACAGGGTTTACACACACACACGGCCCCAGTAAAACAGGTTGACGAAACATCGCAAACCGAAGAAAAACTCCAAGTTGCACACGGGCAAATACCGATTACCTCTCTGCTGAGAAGACTTCTTTGCTTCCAATATCCGTTCACAGCTTATGATGGCGGAAATTCCTGTATCGCTTGGGTGATAAAAAGGCGATAAAAACTGCTGAGACGAATCGTTCGTAAGCTTCTCAACTTGGAAGTTCACGAAAGTTGCAAGTCGGTTCGCTCGCGGCCTTAGCAACTGCAGTCTCTTGTTGAAGATCCCGAACTCGGTGCTAGAGAACTGAGTTGAGCAGTTGAGCTTGCGGTATTTTGCTTACTGAATTGCAGTCGCCCAAGCCACAGCAGAGATGGCCGTGGCATGCTATGGCCCACATGGGCTTTGTAGTTAAGTCCCTGACCATGCCGAGATCTCGGGCAGACCCAGTGATTCCACTGCTCCTGGAGCGGAACAGATCACGAATTGACGAATTCTCAGTTCCCCTCTCACTCTCTCACTCCTCTATCTTCAAGGCCATTCTCTCCAATGCTTCTGACCTTTCGAAGCCATTGGCCACAGCCTGCGGCATTGAAGCATGGGAATTCAAGCACAATGAACTGAATACAAAGTTAGGACTGGCTTTCGCTGGCGACACTGACGTGCACCGGAAAGGACCGGTTTTCTGTTAGCAAATGTTGGCAAGCAGTTCATTCCGACAGGTTTCGTTCTCGAACCTTTTGTACATGATTTCGGCACTGGTCGAGGCCGGAAGGACTGCAAAGTGAAGTGCTGCACGTCTGCGGGGCTTCCGAACGGAGCCGCTCTGAAGGTTTTGCTTGAGGAGTGAGCCTCCGCTGCAGCCAGGCGAAAATAACGCCACTCCTAGGGCGCGGGCCAAGCTCGGCTGATGACCCATGAACTGCCATGCACCCTCGGCAGATGTCGCAAGCCAGTCCTGGGGCCAGCCTTCTCCTTCGCAGTCCAACATGTGGGGCACCTGGCAGTTCCGTACCCATCGTCACAGTCCGGAATGTGAAACTCTCATGTTGGAGATGTGCAAGGAGGCTTGTCACGGCCTCCAACCCGTCTGCTTCTCGCCCACGTGCATCCTCTCTCCACAGGCCGGAAAACTGCTGCCTATGCAACAGCCAGTGAAGTCAGTGAAGTCCTCTCCCAGTGTCCAGAACGTGATTTGCCTCACTGAACAGGCATCCGGGCTTGTAAAAGTGCTCGAGAAGCACCAGCTCGCTAAGCGCGGGGCCACAGCCACAGACATGACCAGACCCGATGCACCATTGCCGATGCCGTCACGAGGCCAGCTCTCAGGATTGCTGCACTTGCAAAATGCAATAACTATATGAAAGCTTCAGCAGCCACCGTCTCCCATGGAGGATTTGCATAATTTAATGCGGTCTTGATTCAATGAAGACTTGCTGAAATGTTAGCCACACTCACTTGAGAAGCATGTTTTTCGCATCGGTTTGAAGATGTGTAGGCGAACAACAAGTTGCCCGCTCATGCCGGTTCTGACCACTGGTCAGCAAAATAAAGGCCGGCAAGGTGGATTCCTCCAGCATCCGCTGCGAAAAGCCGCCGGGCGCACAGCCCAAGTCCTTGCTTTCACCACCCTCTATGTGCAGTTTTCCCGAAAACAGCCTGCATGTTCCCTTCCGTCCAGAAATGAGAACTTGTCTCTGAAGGCAGCAGGATGCTTCTCGATGGCCTCGTTGAGCACCTGCAAACACCAGGCGCCAGGCCAAGGTTCTTTGGGATTGTTGCCCGCCTGGTAAGTCTTTGCGAAATGAATCTGGGCCTTGCTACATGCTTTGCAGAGGATTCCACTGTGCGCGCGACACGCAACAGCGGCGAGCACATCACGAGCACAATGTATTGCACACCCGCAAATTCGATCCAAGAGTATTCATGTCAAGCCGCATGACTTCCATACTGCGGCAAACAGCTGAAATACCACCACCACCACTACCTCTATCACTACCACTCCCACTACCACTACACGCCTAGTGCTAATGCTAGAGCACTTCTCCACACTCGTTTTGTCACGAGCTGCGCTGAAGAAGAGCTGTGTAAATCATTTGTCGCACGGCGAAATGAAATGAAAAAGGTGCGTGGCCGACCTTCCCACGACGCGACATGCCGAAAGAGGGAACAGAGCGGCGGCCACATCCCCCGCACAGCCTTCCCACCTGCCCCCGCGCAGGGTCAATACTCAACACAGCCAGCTGGCATCCGCCTCACCCTTTCGACGCAGCTAAAACTAGACGGCTCAAGGAAGGCAGGGAGAGATGGACACTTAGACTCGCAATCCGGCCTTGCTCTCCAGAGCCAATGCTCGAACCTGCCGTAACTTACGCGCCGACAACTGGAGTTCGGAAGGTTGATCCATCGCATCACAAAAGTAAATGCGAGCCGTTCGCAATGCCGTCCAGCGCTCCTTGAAGCACACACCAGAGACATTGCTCGTTCGCCGAAATTCATGTGTGGCTCCACCTCTTCGTAAAGAGTACCACCGATATCCACCGACACGGTGCCGTGATGTTAAGCTTGGCGAACAATTCATTCAGTCGCTTTCGCTGCAACTCGGGGGAGACTTGGCATATGGGATCCCCTTTGGATTGCCAATGGCCTGACAGCCTGCAGCCCTTCAGAATTACGGCCCAGTTATATACGCTGTTTTTGACGAAGCGCTTGCGACAGCCTCACCCAAATGTGGATTGACGCGGAGAGGCCCAGGCCCAGGTGCAAGGTAAAGGAAGCACTTGACACGCAGACCACGTGGAAGTGCACAGAAACTTGCTTTGCATATCCTAAGACTGCAGCGGTGCGCTCGTCCGCCGCGGTTTTGGGACCGAGGTGGTCTACGCTGTTGGCCTGACACTGACCAGAACGATCATGCTCCGCACTGGGACGGCAGTGGAAGTTCTCTGCAGCTCTTTCTCTGCGGGTCGTAGTCATGCCAGCGCCACTCAATTTGCCGATGGGCCTTAGTGACTTCAAGGATTGAAACTCCAGAACCGACATCCTTCAGGGTGATGCGGGACAGCCGTGGTCACAGTCAGCCGCAATTCGTTCTGGGAACGCAGTCCAAGCTTTGAGGCCTATGCGTTTCTTGCGGGACGGGGCGACGCCACCCTCGGGTCGGAGCGATTCGGAGCGCAATAAGGAGTGCAAACAACAAGTCTCGAAAGAAGGATCTCTGTGGAACGAAGCACCTCGCGGAAGCCGTTTTTGAAGCGTCGTGCAATGTGCTTCACATACCTGTCATTCCCAGGTCATGCTGCTGCTTCTACATCTCTACGATGCTCTACGGGTCTAGCAAGCCTGTGCTATCAGTGTGTCCGGCAACAGTGATGTTCTCGAAATACGAGTACGGTATTGCATAGCTGTGCGGATTACTGTCAGTGGAATCTGAAACTATGCAGTAACTGATGTTACGACACGAACGTTTTCAGAGAAGAGCGACATGCCACGTCGCCTCATTCGTCCTGTGCCTGGAGCTCGGCGGCGCTTGGACTGCAGCAGTGTTTGTTGCACGTCAAGTTATGTGATCTCACGAGCAGCATGTCGAAGGCATGCGAGCATTGAAAGCCTTCTTGGACCACTCGTAAGAGCGGATCTTCGCAGCAGGGTAGCCGCATGCAGCCTCAGAAGACAGGTGTTGGTGGAGTTGCCGGCACGAGGCGAACAAACCATCTGAATCTGCAGCCATAAAACGCATTTCTTGTTCTGAATGTGGTAGGAGCGCTTGCCACACCGCGGGCACAAGGCGTGCGTCCTTGTGAAGTCTAGCTTTTGCAGATGCTTCCTGGATGAAAACTCACTCCCGAAAGCATCAACAAAACTACTTCAGGTGCGCACTTCTTGTGGCGCTTGCCCATTGCCGGGGTCCCGTCGCCACCTGTCTGCGTGCTCGGGTAACTTACATCTCTGCCAAAAAAACTATGTCAACTGTTTAGCTTACTGTAGCAGCAGCCCGCTGTGACCGCGAAGTATGTTCAAGATGCAATCATATGCGACAACACAAGGACCACTAGCACATTCGTACTGGAATAGGTGCAAGTCCACATCAGTGCAAGTCGGGCTCCTCCAGGCAGGCGAGATACGACCTCGTGACGTGACATCTGAGAAGTGGCCTTGTCTGCTGACGCCCAGAGGAAGCTTGCAGAAGCAAGTAAGGCTGGTGCCATCAAAGTCGATCCCTCAGCGACCTGGACAAGGAGAACGAGCGTGGCCGGCATGGCATGTACGTGCTCTCACGTGTATCGGCCTGGCATCCGTCGAGCGTCATATCATCTTCTAACCACCTGAGTTGAGAGGCCGTGGGCCAGCTGCCCGGCCATGCCTTTTGTTATAATCCGTTCTCGTGTACGGTAGGATTCGCGCTGACCTCCGAAGCACAGCCCGTCATCTTGAATGCCCAAAGCTGCCTGGATGGTTGCGCTGCCAATCCAGCACTGTGAAGGGCGTGCAAAGGCGAATAAGCACGTAGAGCTAGTTCAGCTAAGCGAAGGGGCCTTCACATCAAGAATGGAGCTGCTTTCCTCGCCAGGCTATGTCGAGAAAGCGATTCGGCACTTGACTGCTGGAGGATCAGTAACACGACGCTCAACCTTTAACTTTACATTCGTGGCTCTGCCTCCACGTGGAGAACCACGGAATCACCCGAAGCTGTCCTCGTGGAATGAACAGATCAGGGCTCGTGACGTCCGAAACTAGGAGAGTATCTGAAACGCACCGCTTTTGATGGGAGAAGTCCTTGCAAACAGCTGCATGTTGCCTACGGCCAAACCCGACCCGCAGTCTAACCTGGTTTGGGCCATATGCCGAGGCGTGCTTGCGACCACGAGAAGTCCGACTGCAGGATGCTGCAGGGGTGCCTGCGGCCAAGCATCGCCTTCCTGACAAATCGACGGGCTCCGCGCAGCGGGCGCGCTGGGGCCCGACACTGGCCCATGGGCCCATGGCCCGGTCCTCTGCCACGGCTTCGCCCCACCAGGATCCGTCCCAAGAGCCTTGGGCAACGCAGGCCGCAGCTTCGCTTCTTCGTACCTTGTGGTACACAGCCCCTGGTGCTTTGAAAGCTCTTTGTCCTCGCTGTGGTGTTGCGTCCAGATGGGCAGTCAGCAAGACATGTCGTCTTTGGTCTTGCAACGTCCACTGTCCGACTTGGCGCTGATGCTCTCCAACTTCATGCATTGCATTGCAGCATACTGCAATCAGTCCCTCTGAATCAGAAGACCACTATCCATGTGGACCACTCATGGCGGGAGAGCAACCCCCGGCTAGAAGCCAATTTCCGAGACTCAGTTCAAAGAAGCAGCATGCGCCTTCGCCTCGGAGGGGGCATATCATCGCAGGAACCCGCTGAGAAGAGCCTGAGACATTGGCACCACCTCCAGCCGAAACTCGAGCTGAGATAGAAATCGCTCAGCCATCCTGGCGGCCGGGAATCTTTTCAAAATCGTAGGGCCCGGCCAAGTGCCACCATCCAATACCCCGGAACAGTTTTCTGTAGGGACGGGACAGGACGGACGGGACGGGACCTGGACTTGACGGGCGGGAACCCCCGCCGATGGCAGCTCCGAAACGCGATATCCTGTCTCAGAAAAGAAACCTTTCGATGCCATAACGAATTTGTTCAATGTGTGTGAAAGGAAAGGGTCGGAGGCGATACATCTTGCGATCCTTCCTCACCTTCGTCCTCCAAGGCTCCTTGCTTGCCTAGATTGAACATGCCGGCGAGCAACTTAGCGGGAGGTGAACTCACAACAAGTACTATGCTTGACTATGGTCATGAATCACTGAGTCACCACGGTACCTACTGCTTGTCGCTCACCGAAAGGATTCAGATTCAACCGCAGTGCCCTTCTGTCTGTTGTCCGTCTGAATGTTCACGCAGCCGACATAGCCGCACTGGCGGCATTACCATGATTTGCTCTTGCTGAGCGACTTCAGGTGGTGTTGAGGGCGGCGGGCTCGGAGCCGCTTGCATGGAGCTCCCGTCGAATCTCACTGGGTCAGCTTAGCAGCTGGCCCTACGCTTGTTGGATATTACTCTTACGTGTCTGAGAATTCCGTGCCAGGGCCGCGCGTCGTTGGGCTGCCACTCTAGCTGCGACCGCGCCTGGCACCGGCAGGTCATGGATATCATGGCAGCGACACACTTTCCACACAATGACCAGTGCACGGGTCCGAGTTAAGCTAGGACCTCAAATCTGTTTCAGGCTGGTGGCTGCGTCGACCGCCGCCGGCAGATTGCCCAGCCGCAGGAGGACCTTCGAAAGCTCCGTAACGGCACAGCCATAACGTTCCCACCACAAGTCGGCCTTGCTCTTGCAAAGTCGAGCATAGAAGAGGCGAGGATTAATCCTTGGCATCTTGGGTGGTCACAGGACTTTCGTGAACTGGCAAGCTGAGAGAAGAATCTCCAAAAACAGTGAACTCGAGGATGTGGAATAACATCTGGGGTGCTTGTTGCTACAGACAGCATCGGCAAGGGGCATCGATTGTAAGCATGACTTGAGCATCTGAGGTCGCGGCTGAAGAGCCTTCTCTAGCAAGCGAAGCGCGCGCTGGTCGTCCTGGGCAGGGCAGTGGCTTGTCTCAGTGCCTCCTGTCGAACGAGTTTTATTCGGATGATCGGGAGTTCAGGAGCACAGTGCGGGCACTCGCTCCAAGCCTTGTCAGCCGCTATCAACTGATGCTCAATTTCACGCCCAGTCCTCCCCAAAAAGCTCAGCTCCCAGATTTGCAAGTGCATATGGGTTCCTGGCATGAGACACACAAAATCTCACCAGGCTGCCTGCAGCGTCAGATCAAACTGTTTCCACAACAGTCCACGACCAGTCAAGGCGGGCTCGAGCCACTCGCTGTCCAGCTCGATGGCCCGTTCCAGCAGCTCCATCTTCTCGGATCTCGGAGGCACACGTGATCCCTTCTACTGGGCGATCTGTGCATCGTCGCCGTCGTCGCCTGACGTGGACGAAAAGGGTAAGGCCGTTGACCTCCGGACAGCATCGACGAACTGGTGAATGACAAACAGCTCTAACCGGTAACTGAGCTTCCGACAGCGTATGAGCAGTCCGGGCACTGGCGGTAGGCTTGCCGGTAAAGCTCTTTGGCCTGCCCGCATCAGGAGCATGACATCGGCACAAGAGCTTGGTCCGTGGAAGCAGGGGGATCAACAAGAAAAGACAATGATGGAAAGGTACGCAAGAAGGATGTGAAGTTCGGAGAGCAGAACAAACCAAGTGAAGACGAGGAGGGCGTTCCATGACAAAGCCCAAGTACGCCCAAGTAGGTACGCCCAAGTAGCAGGCGGTAGCCTCCGACAGCAGCCGCTCTCTTAAAGCCTCGATTTTGGAAGCGCTGTCCTCCGCCTGGCGACGATTTCCAGTTTTCCTCAAGACAGCAACGCCACTTTTCTGGTGCCTCTTCACCCTCCACAGGCCTTCCAGACGGGTAAATGGTGGCACGGCTCGCGGCAGCCCTATGATACAACGTAGGGCCTCGGCAGCCGATCCGCGTCATCGCTGTCGCTCCTGCCCCGCAGATTCAGCTCATCAGATTGGCAGTCTGCCGCCGACATCAAGGCATGTCCAAGCCTCGATCCGACGGCCTCGCCTTGTCTAGGCGGGTGTGGCTCTAAGGCAGGGCCTGGGCGCTGCAGATCACCACCCTGGTAGCCTTGGTCCCTTCGCTCCGATCGATTCGTCTCTTCCTCCGGCTCCGCAACGACCGTCGCCAGAGGTGGACGACTAGAGGGAGACATCGGCGAGCGCGAAAGAAACGTCGCAGGGTTCGGTTCTTCCTCCTCCTCTTCTTGGGTGCCTCCGTCAATGACGGCCGGAAGTGGGGTTGTTGAGCTGGAACTCTCACGCGAGCTCTGCTCCGGCTGACGAACGGTGAGCAGAGACACAGCCCTACCATAGAGCGTGTCTGCCAAGCGGCATATTGCCAGGGGCCGCCCTGGCAGCAGCCGTATGAGGGCACGCAGATGCCCCTCAGCTTCTTCAAAGCTCTTCTGCTCGTAAAGTTGCAAGCCCTTTGAGAAGTGCCAAGTGCTTGCAGCTGCACGAAGGTGTTTCCAAGGTCCAGGTTGACGAGCCAGCTCAGGATCTTCAGCGGGGCGCCACCGTGCATGTGCCGGAATGCGCCCTTCCAACTCTTTCATTCGCCAGGAAGCGCTGTCCCAAAGTAAGGGGGATGCTCCATGCCCAAGGAGCCGCTGTGAGCACGCAAGGCACGAAGCTAGATCCGAAAAACCCAAATAGTCAACGGCACCTATCAGAGAGTCGGCGTTGGCATCGCCCAGTGACTCTGCCAAGCAAGGCATTGGCCCCATTTGGCGAGGGGCTGACGGACCGCTATGAAGCGAAATTATGCTAAATGTTAACAGAAAGCTTCATTCATGGCTTCATGGAACATGCTCAGGCTGAGGCAACCAACCTGTAGATACCATCATGCAAACTAGCTTCTCAAAGTCACGAGTTGAAATGGGAATCGACCTGGCTCCAACAAGATGTGACCTACCGTGAACTGGAACACACAATCGCGGCTGCGCAAAACCTCGCGGTGGAACCACACCGTTCAAACTATGCAAAAGCTGGCGTGCTGCCACTTCCTGCGAGATATTCACCATCAGACTTAAACACTCATCTCTGGGTGCCTCGAATCCAGGTGTGCCCTCTCGGTGCCGGGCAAGCAGCATCAGACCATCCAGGGTGCCAAACTCCTGTGGCATGCGCTTGCTTGGACGAATTGAGCATCAAAGGTCTGGCCAAGTTCATTCTACCACGCAGCTCCTTACGGTGCTTTCGAAGCTGGGCTCTGCCACCCCTTTTATTTCCGAAACTGCTCTGAGAGATGGCAACTCCTTCAGCTCATGACTGCAAACCCTGGTTCGAAGGTGTTGCGGCGTTGCGTCAGGCTTCGTTTCCCTCTTCCAGGATGATTCGTAGTGACGGGTAGTGTAGGAAGTGGTCTTCCAGCCCGTCCGAAACACAGATGCAGTTCGGCTTGGCATGCCGCAAAGAGCACTGCACTTCGAAAAAGCCATCATCCTGTCTGCGACTGCAAACTTGGAGCTACCACTACAGCAGGAGCGGCCAGCTAGACACAAAGCGAATGTGCCTCCAGCGTGGGACTCCCAGCTACGGCTGTCCCCAATACGAAAATGCCAATAAATGACGGTCGGCTTGCACATTTCGAAGAGAGAATTCAGGGCACTGCGTGTCTTCTTGCGAAGCTACAAGCACTATCCGGCTCCAGCTTCAGCAGCCTCGTCACATGGTAAAGATCTGTGGGTATGAACGGACAGCCTGACGCTGGTTGAAGACAACTCACCCAGCAAATGGTCAAACGGATTCCAACGAGACGTCGCGGTCTGACATGCCTGGGTTTCATTTGTTGCGTCTTTCAGCACCCCAGGTATCTGCAAGCGTTTGATGCTTTTCAGGGTTCGTTGCGATGAAAGTTTCGTGGCAGATGTGAGCAAGAACATGCTGCACTGCAGTCACTGCAGGACCTACCACCATGGAGCGATGTTCTGCTCGTATTGAACTATTGAACTGAATCTGTAGCCACGAGTGATACCATCGGGAAGTGGCGACACAAAACTCTGCATGATCATGGTCTCGTTTCAGCCGCCATATGCACAGAGCCGGGTATTGTCGAAGGATAGGCACTAGTTTCGCAACTACGCCTGACATCGCCTGACCACACAGTGTCTTAGGTATCAACCCCGCTGGTTCCATTAAACTTGATTGATCAGACATGATCAGACGTGCTTCAGTGCTTGCCCGCTTACACTCAAACAGGCTTAGTCAAATTGTGGATGAAATCGTCATCATGCGACTGGCCTTCATGCCATGCCCACGTCGCATCCTCGTGCCACGCGTGTCCTCTGAAACAGGACCGACAGTTCGAGCTCTTTTTCCGCGTACCGGGAGACCTTGTGCAGCGAAGCTTGCAGCGTGCCAGCCTTCGCCGTGGTAGTAGCCCATGTCTCGGTGATTCAGTCACAAACAAAATGCGAAAATGGACAAAGATCAGGTTTGAGAAGACTGAGACGGGCACTGTGGCTAGCATCCATCGATGCGTCATGCCATCGTAGCAGAGCTTGGACCGGTCATGGACTTCGTAGATTTGGCGTACAACAGACTAGCTTGGGGGAAATTGTCCTGCAAGCTTAGCGTGTGATAAGAAATCTCCTTGACTGGTCGATCGTAATTGTAGATGCTGGCGACATGCTCTGCGACCACAACTACTAAACCTGAGCAAGCTTCAGAAACAGATGCCAACATGGCACGGACCGTCATCTCTCTTCTCTCATCTACATTGCTGTACTCCCACGCTTTCGCCGCAGCATGCCGCAGCCAGACATCTTTATGTACATTGCAGGGCTGGCCCTGCACGTGGCGGACGGAAAGACGGAAAGGGCTACAGCAGGTCGTCGTCCTGAAGGAAGGACTGGGCTGATTTGTGAAGACAGGATTGCACGAACGATTCCACAGCAAGGCGTCCTCAAAGGGGTTCTTCCATTCCTGGACTGGAACTGAAAGTCTGCCCAAGGGATCCCACGTCCCCAGTTATGCGGCCTGACGCTGGGGCTTTGCAGCATCCACCCAAGCTTCTCCTCCAACTCTCGCCCGACACATGGCAGTGCAGAACTTGCGACACAGGATCTGTCTCTGTGCCGTTGGTTGTTGCGCTTCAAGCTTCAAGTGCTGCTGCCGAGATCACGCAAAGTCACCCAACCCAAAGAAACGCCACATTGCTATCTTCATCCTGTGCATTCCGCTGCCAACATTTGCCTCAGCGGCGAATACAGGATTACCACGGCCTGGCTGTTTTGAACGGCAGTGTCCTTCCCGAGCTTAAGCATATCGAGCATTTTTCAGTCAATATCAATGCAGGCGATGGCGACTTTTGTATGCTAGTCTGCGCGTGCAAAGTCCTGATTCCATGCTGAAGTTGATGGTAGCCATGATTTTGCTAGTTACGACTTTGATCGATTTTGCAGGGGGACGCGGCACGAGATCACGGATCACATCCAACGATGCTACCTCATCCCACGGAAAGCGGAGCTTGGCCAGCCCCGGTGTTCATGCGCTGACACCGCAAAAAGGCTAAGCCCAGGACCTCAGCCGGTAGGAACCAACATGTAACACTGTGACAGTACATGAACCTCACCCGAAGGTCATCTCCTGCTACATCGAGAAGGGATTGGAATGCAATGCACCATCTACATTGACGAATTATTCTCAAAATCTCGCCTTTGTCGCCCACGGGCTTGGGCATTGTCACTTTCCGGGTTGGAGTCGGGAAGAACGAACTGAACAGGAAGGGCTGTTCCAAGGATCGGTGCTGGCGCGGCCAGCACCAAAAGAAGAGTGAGCGCGAGTCTCTCTGAAGTACACCGCCAAAGTCTGGCATGTTTTATCGACGACGACGAGGACGACAAAGGTGTGAACGTACATAGCTCTGTTTACGTTTCTCGCATAGGCTCTCCCTCCTCCTCCTCCTCGTCCTCCTCCTCCTCTCCTTCCTTTTCTCATGGATTCTGCAAGCGGTCCCGTCCTGCCCGGCTAGTGCAAATGAATGCCCATCCCAGTTCTCTCCTCTTCTTTGTCTCGCCTCTTTGCTTTGCTTTGCTAGGGGGGGCTAGAGCCAGGGGCAGTCCCCCTGTCTCGCCTCTCTCTGTCTCTCTCCGCGTCTTGCTTAGGCGTCCAGTTTCAGTCTTGTCTTTAAGCGCTGCGTTTCCCTCGAAAGAGGGGTGTGTGTGCAGAAGCCCTGATTCTCTGCTAAGGGTAGGTGGTAGCCAGGATTTTGCAAGTTACGATTTCGGATGTGGCATCAGATTAGGAATCACAGGTAAACTCGCAGCATGACATGCAGCGAATTTACCTCATCTAGTTTAGCGAGCTCTGTGCAACTGCACTGATATCGCAAGCGACTACGCAACGGACCTCAGCCGGTAAAATGTATATGTACAAGAGTGACGGTACATGAACGTTGCCAGAACTGGAAGGAAGTCATAACCTCAGACCATCTCCCGCTGCATCGGGCATAGATTGAAATGTAGTGTACCATCGCACATTGACACGACTCCTCCAGATACGTCGGAAGCGAATTTTCGAAACTTGATCCGCTAGCCGCCTTAAACTCAACTTTGGCTACTTTGCTTCCGGTTTCATTTGGATGCTGGTGCCCAGTGCGAAGACGCCGAAGCGAAGTGTTGCACGCCGTGCAGATATGACAACCCTAGCATCGCTGGCCTGGGTCTCGAAGAATGTCCGCCCCTTTATCCGTCGCCGTCGCCACATCATCCACTTGGGCCACGGATGGACCTATGGAAGGAAGTTGTTCAACCCTGTCTCCTAAGCTACTAAGCCGAGGCGACCTTGTGCAAATGCACCAAATCGACGCATGTGGACCTCTACGAAAAGGGTCACCTCCGGCAACATGCATGCAGCGAGGGCCATCCCAGTCCCAGTCTGCCTCATCTGGTCTGGACAAGTATGGAAAATCACCTCTGGACTTCAGCTCTGCGAAGCTGGCACCCTTGTACCTGTGGCAATGGGTCTTGTGCGATTTTTCCAAGTCGCCCTAGCCCTAGGCGGTGCTTTCCAATCTTGGGGGCACAGCTCCCTAATCCAGCAGCACATCACAATCCAACATTGGGCAGCACGCAATCAAGGCAGGTAGTGCATGTTGATACAGTGCTCCTAATCAACTGCGAAAAACAGAGGAGGGCACAATAGCTTGAGCTGTCGTCGCAGCTCTTCAGGAACCATCGTGTCACCGCTGGACTCCAAAATTGTTATCTGAGCAAGTGCTGGTTGTGTTGCATCGTACTGAAGCGTCCATCCGCACAGGCAACTTGCGATGCGAGGTACCAGCATCGATGAAATTAAATTCGTGCAGTAGCCTGCCTGTCCTGGGATATACAGGTGCCAGAATTTCGGAAACCCGTAAGACAGCCTCATGGCTCTCCAGCTGCAGGGGACCGACGTGGCTGCCGTTGACATTCAGGTTCAGCCTGCTTGCAGTCGTGCGCGACAGCCGCACTTCACAGCACCCTGGCAGGACCTGCTGGCCAGGTCTTCACCGCTGAGGTCGTTCAACTGAAGCCAAAAAGAGAGAGACTTGAAAAAGAGAAAGGCATCTTGCACTTTTGGTGGGAGGCTGCAGCCTCCTGGCCTGCTGCCCGACCCAATCAACCGCTTGTTTGCATCGTATTTCCATGAACCCAGCCTGCACACAAGACGAGGCACGCTGCCCTGGGAAGAAGAACGGGGGCGTGCCTGTGGCAATGTGTCTTGCATGGCCTGCAGAAGAAGGAGGTAGGCATGAGTTGGGCCTAGAAATGCATCTTGCTCCCAGACGGTTCGCAGAAAGGCTTGGCTTAGAAACAGTCGGGGCGAATAGCGAACCAAGCGCGGTGTACAGGGGGGGGCTTCAGCATGTGTCCGGCACAGGCAAACTGTCCGAAACTGTGAAGCATGGGAATCAGCAGTCAGCCCCAAAAGATGCAACCATGCAAGTACAAGCTGAGAGCGAAGTTGTAAATCATGTATCCTTAAGCCGGAGCGCCTAAGCATGTGTGTGAGGCTGTTACGGTCTGCTGCATGGTTCGTCGAAACCCTTAGAACCCCCAAAGCTTGTTGGCTGCGACGGTGATGCTCTTCAGGCGTGCCGTGCCGGTTGTGTCCCGAACCACGGGTTTACACGGTGCCTGCGACATGCGCGCAGAGTGTCCACGTCCACGGTGCCTGTCCTGCCTTTAGCCCTGTCCTGTGCCGGTCCATCCCCGACATGGGGGTGTCCGACACGACCCTGTTGCAAATGACGCAGCTAACATTCACGAGTGCACCGACATCGACGCAGGTGTCTGCTACAGAAACCCAGCTGGCTGTCAATGCTCTAGGATGCAACCAGGTTTCTTTTGAGGTTGACATCGGCTTAGCTTTAGTCAAGTTCTTTCAGCTGTATGGCCGTGAATGCAGCGGGAGTGATTTCTGCTGGAGGTGATACATTTGATCGCTGGGGGCGCAAGAGTCAAAATTATTGCAGCGCTGCTTGCTGGGGACGATCACGCAGCTTTCTCCCGCGGCCGTGCACGGAAAAGCAGCGGTCTGGTGGCTGGTGGTGCTAAAAAGCCACTGACAAGAGAACTCCGGGCGGGCACACGGCTCATTCATAGCTTGCAGTACGTGAACCTTGCGAGTCGACTAGCACCTTGTGATTTGTGCCACTGTGTGCCTGCTGTGACAAAAGGCCCGACGTTGCCGATCCATGCCAGTTTGTACTCTTCGCGCGGAGTATTAAGTCGGTGGTTGTAGCTTCTGCTCCCAGCATCTTCACTGTATCAGCCCCGAGGGCACTTGTGCCAAAAGTACGTACATCACCGGGACAAAAGTCTCGACATATGGAGGAGTTTCTCAAACACCATGATTATATACCGTGGAGAAGCAGAGAGGCCACAGGTCCGTTGTGTGTGGCCAGTCGGGATCTTGCGAGAGGAGTCTCAGGGGGAAGGGGGTGCCAGTGTTATACATGTTCAGTTACAAGACTCCTGTCTTATTCAAAACCCGCGGTCTGTGATGCAGCCTGACGCAGAAACGCCGTGGGCATGATGGAGATGAGGCTGCCCCACCTCACAACAAATCCGCATGTGCTTCTGCAATGCTTGCGCCATAAGCCCCAGCATTCCTCTCCGCTGAGAACACCACGTACCAGCTCTAAGTGCGAAGGCATTGGTTGATGCGAAGGAGTTGCACAGCACCAGAGACCTTTCGCGTCATGCAGCGCGAATTCAAGGATCTAAACCCTTTGATTATTTCGACTGTCTAAACTCAATGACCGAGAATCACTCCCACTTTCTCGGACAAGCACCTGGCACCTGTTCCTGCAGCATCAAGCCTGGGCAGGCCTGACGCGGCTTCGGTGCTTACACGCATAGTGTTGCGCGAGGAAGCCACCTCAGAGCTTGAGCCTCTGCTCTGAAACAACGAACTGTAGCTAGTAGGCTAGGAACATGGAATTCTGACTTTATCCAAGTCGCCCAGACCAGCACCCACCAGATGAACCGTGCGGTACCTGTGGATTGCTCCAAGTCCTGTCCCCTTCTACTCACAAGCTTCTCAAAAGCATGAAGCTGCATTTGTCTGATGTTAAGATATGCTGAGGCACCGCAAGCCATCCAAGAAGAGGTCGAAACCCTGAGACGGAGATGCAGCATGCAAGTCAACTCTGAGCGAGGAATGTAATCGACCATCGAAGCTGCCGAAACCCGTGAGAGTCACTGAACTGCACAGTTTACAGTTTGAGTCGAGCACGCCGCCAATTATGCTCCGATAGACATGCCCCTCTGCTGTGGCATAGATACGAAGTTTCCTGGGGGGCGGGTCCTTACACCACTCGTCTGGACCGCCGTAAGCTGGATATTGCGCACTTACGACCTGGAAGCCATGTCATGCAAGAAAAGTCAATGATCAGCATGTGGGAAATGACTCAGAACCGCTCACTGTAGCCCTTCTCGCTGAAAGACATGACCTTGGTGCGAAAAGTTGAACAAATGAGTGAAGTAGCATGCACGGCCTGACACGTGGATTGACTTGCACAGCAGTCCTGCCTGGTAGAAGAAAGCAGCAGCAGTACTACTGGTGCCATGCAAAAACCTCAGACACTGCTTCAACATGCCTTCGGTTCCGTAACACGACTGGGATTACAAGCTACACTAAGCAGGCTGCACCAATGGGTTCGCGTCACTTGCTGGACCAGCCTGCGACTTGCACGGAGAAGCTCGAATCCAGGGTCACTTCGCATGATGTGTGCTCCGGCATTAGTATGGTTCATGTCGGCCTGGTAGTAAGACCACTCCAGCTGCGAGTGTGGTTGAGCGAACCTGAGCGGAACTTTATATTCTGCATCACAACGCTCTAAATTTCGAAGTATACCGATGCACATCTACACTGTACACCTTGCTCCGACGTTCAGGGTCAATCGCCACAGCCCTATGCAAACAAACATCTGTGCCATTGAGTACCATGTACTTACATGCTGGAGGTTCAGCATTCCAGGAAAACTGTGAAATCTCGGACTGCAACAAGAGCAGCCTGCAATTGATATGGCGATATCTTGCGTAAATGTTTTGCTCCAGTCCTACCGGTCATACCGCTCTGAGTCTAAAAGTTGGTGCATACAAACACGACGGAACTATGCCGAAACACGTGCGTGAACACGCGAGCAGGAAGACTCTCATACCTCTACACAAAAACTGTCGCAAAGTGTAGCTGCAACAGCGTGGCTGGAGCAGGTCGAGGGCTTGACTTCTTCAGGGGACAAGCACTTCGAAACGCTGCAAAGTCCGCACCAATGCTCGAAAACCTCGCGCCAGCAATGTACGCTGCCGCATCCACATGGACAGTGTCAAGGGCTGCAGAGGTGCTGGCCCTGGCTGACAGCCGTCAGAAGCACCCCGTCCTTTCGGCGTGTTCTGAAAGCACAGCAGGGTCGGGTCCGTAGGCCGCTCCTTCCATCGCCTCATGGCCTCATCTTCGGAGGGAAGCGACGGACATGTCAGCCGAAAACACACGCGAACTGGTTCTTATCTCTGGCTGGACGGTTTCACAATGTTTCACAGCGTTCTTCATCCGATTTAAACATAGCTTGATCCGTGACACGGGCCGAGGCGGGCGTGCAACACAGGAGCACAACTGACAAAGATTGCTTTTTCGTGGCGCCATCGAGAAGGCGGCTGCAGAACGCATGAAGATTAAGCCTCTGACACATGAGAAAACGCGTGCTTGCCAGGAGACTTCGCCAGTGAGAGACAGGCCTGGAAAGGATCAAGGCCAATGCGTCCTCCGAATGAAGGTGATTCAGCCTGCATGCGACGAGTCCAACTACTAGTACCCATCATTTTCTCCGGTCCGTTCAGATGGGCGGGGGGCGATCCTTGCGAGGTGCAGAGTTGTCCTCTGCCTCGAACGATGTCCAGTGGGTCCGATGTATATCCTCACGGACAAGGGCGTGCAAAGCCTTTCGGAACACGTACGGTCGGGAAAGGCAAACTATGCGAGACCAGGGCCTGAGCGGGAGTGCTGGAAGCAAACCAGGACTGCGGCCTAAATAAAATAGTTGGACCGGATGTCAAGTGATCCAGTGATCTCATTCCGTGTCGGCCGGGAATCTCACAAAGGCGCATCATGTGGAACATGTCCTGCACAGAACTCCAACATCAGCAGCACAAAAGGTAGCTGCAGCTCAAAAGAGTCGGCGTCTGCGACGCTCCTCGCACTCCGCCAGAAGACCCTGGCACCTTGTACAAGGTTTGGGAAGCCTCAGAAGATGGCATCGATGATCCCAACTTTGGCCAGAAACACGGGCACCGGCCTTCTCCGGTGATCGGGAATTCCTGTCAACAACTTCGCTCAGAAGACAGACAGACAGACAAGCACGCTCAACAAAAGCCGCATTTAGCAGATCCAGCTTCCTAACTCCGCTATTATCGCTATTGCACGACCATGCATCGGAGACGGCGCCTTTGTCCCGAAAGCCGTTGATGGACAGGCTGTCCGTCTGGTGTACCATGGGCCTGTCGGATGGAGCTTGAAGGCTTGAAGGATCAAGGACAAGGAGCTAAGGAATGCAGGCCATGCTTTCGGCCATGCATTCATCTGCGGACTTCACACTCTAGGCAACCTGCCTGGCTTACAATGCTGGCGATCTGTTTCTCGGCAGATGTGCGCTGTTCAAGCAGCCTCGGGAAGTCACATCAACGCTGCACGCACGTGAAATGGGCGCGTACCGGTACTGGCAGGCTGGCTTGATGCGCTGCGCTCGTAGATCGTTCAAAGTGTTCCTGTCGTCCTTGCCAGAGAGCATACTTGCAGCTGCAGGACAGTCTGCGTGTGTATGCCGGTGCACTGTGCCTTTTTGTGTGCGCGATATAGCTCCTCGTTGTACATGTATCTTTTGCCGTACGTGGTGATGTGCCAGTGTGTGCACGCATGCGTGAGTGTGTGTGTGTGTGTGTGTGTGTGTGTGTGCTGTATGTCTGCCTGCATGCATGTATGTCGATATGCATGCCCGCATGGCTCACTGGATACTGTTGGGGCGTGCCACGATAGGCTTGCTCAGCGGTGGCCAGCTTTGAGCGCTTGCATGCCTGGTACAGATTTGGAAGCCCTGCCTGGAGTGCTCCCAGCAGTCGATTCCGATCCTGCTCCGCATTTCGCTGCTTCTGGAAAAGCACCTCCCATAATGGTGGATGGTGTTTTTTTCGTTTATTCCTCTTCTGATGCAAAGTTCCGTGCCAATCCTGCTGGTTCTGCTGCATGCTCTGCTTCTCAACTCGGAGGCCTTCTATGTGCCTGGGCCGGGTTGTGGAGAGCCTGAAACGCTGCATGCTTGCTGCATGCTGCACCATGTACGCAGAGGGGCATCCGCAGATGTTCAACCTGATCCTGCTGCACCTGTCAGAGAAACATTTCACAGCAGATGAATACAAATGAATTCTTAACGGCTTTTTGGCATCGCCTGGAGCGATTCAATACGAGCTTTTTCTTCGGCAAGAAAGTCCTCTCAGACTCCATCTTTCTCCCACTTCAAGAAGCACTCTCCTCAGGCTCTCCTTGTTTCTTGGAAGGCCTTGTCGCTCTGTTCGGGATGGAGGCGGGACCTGACGGGCTTGGGCAAGCGCTCCCACACCAGGCTTAGTGAAAATCAACGGCGTCGCCGTTTTTCATGCCTGGAAGGTTTGCTGGAGAATTCGGTTCGACTCCTGGACTCTTCGAGAAGACTCGACCACTCTCGATTTGCACTTTGCAGCGTCCTTCAAGACCATGAGGTCGTGCTCGAGCTCCCTGTGCTGCTCCTTGACAAATCTGGCCTGTCATTGAATCTGGGCTGCACGCCAACCGCAAGCACGCCACATAAATAGGCACGCGTGCCTGCTGGTGTAGCAGCTCGACCGAAACGCTGGCCTGCATTGTCAGACTGCGCTCACATGCAGGCAGGATGACGGAGAGTGCTCCGAGCCTCTGTCAGCGTCACATGGCCGGGCTGCTGCTTCGAAGCATGATCCTCTGAAAGGCGGTGGGGCATCATCGCAATTTGGCGGTGGACGCCTTTGCAGCAACCGGAACCGGCCTGCAGCTGCGAGCTTTTCTCGTCCACCCGAAGCTCGAAGTCGCGTTTTCGGCGCAGCTGCCTCCCAGGAAATCTTTCAAAATGCAGTTGGAAGGCGAGGCCGCCAACCTCCACAAATCCGCGTCGTTCTCATCCAGCTGCAACACCTTATCAGTTAATACGAGGCTCTCGCTGTGAGGTATTCTACAAACTAACCAAGGTTGTGGCGACTTCAGCCACACCGGGATCATCGTATTCTGTCACAAAGCAAGTTAACAGGAATTGCAAGGCACACGGCTGGCAGGCAAAACAGTTTGGGCCGCAGCCAGGCAGGGACTCCATGCGGGATCCATGTAGAGTCTAGCTTGACATCGAGTACGCGAGCTGCATCGTTCTGGTGCTTGACCACCCAACTGCGGGTGCTTCGCAACAACAGTTTACACAGCTCAGCCAGGATTTGATCAGCAGCACGCACACGATTTTTTGTTCATGCAGGGGCCTGGCACAGCTACCAGTACCTTGTGGAAGCACTTCACTCCGACCAGATCACGTAGCTCATAGAGCACACACCTTTGTCGAAAAAGACCTGGCTTCAAATTCTTGGCCTGCATAGGGCAGGTCTCTCCAGGCTTCACCATGGAGCAGCAAGGTTTGGTCTCTGCCTGTGCCTGTCAGCCTGCATTTCGCAACCATGCTCGGCATGTTGTTGCGCTTCACCTGGTGTGGGTGAGACTGGCAGCTCGGCATTAGGTCCACATGCGGCTGCACTGAGGCGCGCGATCACCGTGACTGAAGAATCACTGAAGTGTAATGTCTGTGCTTCTGGCTCTTTGCTCTTTGCTCTGGCTTGGCTTATCACCTGTTCTTGTTTTCTTCAGTGGCGTACGCTGCTCACAGGAGCAACGCATAAGGCCAAAATTGGTCGGCTTCTCTCCTGCAGCTGGCTTGGATGTCAGACTGTTGTCGAGAGTTGAAACAACCTGACAGTCCTGTGTGCTACTGTGTGCTTGCAGGAGATGTCTCGGAGTATTGGCGCTTTCAACACGGGAGCAACAAACCACGGGCAGCCTCATTGTGCTCCTCAGGTGGTTTGCCCTTCCGCGAAGAATCGCGGCTACACATCGCCGTCACTCATTTGTCGCTTGCTCGTGCACCTAGCAGCTCCCTTCGAAAAAGACAGAGTGAGGGCGAAAAGGCCTGCATGAAGCCAATCCCAAGCTTGCATTTTTGCAACAGCCCGGCCAGCTTCAGCTTGCAACAAAAGCTTAAGCCTTCTTCAATGCGGTGCGCAGTCTGGCAGACTGTTGAAAAGCACCATCTTGCAAGTCGCATTCAAAGGCAGCTGAAATTGAAAAGTGCTGCAGATGCATGCAAATGCGTGCTCAAATCAAGCAGAACACTCTTCGGCTCCTCGGCTAAAATCAGCCGCGCACGACCTGACCTCAGTCAAAAGTTCACGCACCGCACGTGCCCTGCTCTCTCCGTCTGAGGCAACAGCTGCCCCTCCCCAGCGTCGCGATTCCTGCGGCAAAGGCAGTGTCCGACCTGCAAGGCACAGTCGACCAAGCTGAGCTACTCGTAGCCAGTTTAAATTACACCATCGAAGACCCCAAACAGAATGCATCGAATCATGCCGGTTGAAGTTGGAACGTGTTGGAACCCAATCTGGCTTCGCCAGCAAATGCTGCGAACCAAATGCTTAGGCACTAGACAAAAATTTTGTGCAAAAGAAAAATGGGTGGTGATGACATCCGCACGACAAGGGAGCGTTCTTTTTTGGAAAGAAAGAACGCCGTGTCCAAAATTGCCTTTGCTCCCTGAGCCCAATGGGCCCACCCCGTCGCCGCGGCCCACCCATCCACCCAGGAGCCCAGAAAGGAAACATGGAGGGAGGCCCCAAAAAGGAAACATGAAGGGAGCCCAGGAAACATGAAGAGAGCCCAAAAAGGAAACATGAAGGGAGCCCATTGATGAAGGGAGCCCAATGGGAGCTCCACCCGTCGCCGCGGCCTGCCTATCCATCCGACCCAGCAGCCCAGAAAGGAAACATGAAGGGAGCCCAAAAAAAAACATGGAGGGAGCCATTGATCAAGGGAGCCCAATGGGAGCTCAGCCCCGTCGCGACCCAGAAGCCCGGAAAGGAAACATGAAGGGAGCCCAAAAAGGAAACATGAAGGGAGTCCACTGATGAAGGGAGCCCAATTGGGAGCCCAGCCCCGTCGCGACACAGGAGCCCAGAAAGGAAACACGAAGGGAGCCCCAAAAGAAACATGAAGGGGGCCCATTGATGAAGGGCGCCCAATGGGAGCCCACCCGTCGCCGCGGCCCACCCATCCGACCCAGGAGCGCACACAGGAAACATGAAGGGAGCCCATTGATGAAGTGGGAGCCCACCCCGTCGCCGCGGCCCACCCATCCAGCCGCCGCGGCCCCCCTTTTTTTCTGAGGAGAGAACCCCGAACCGTACCTGCGTGGGGAAAAAGTATGCAGCACTGCTGCATGCCAAACGGCTTGAACTGATTGTGCTGTTTCTCTGAGTCCCTCACCACACTCCCCACCCCGGCCCCATCTGCTCCATTGCTTGTCGAGTGGCCGTGGTGCTCGCGGAACTTGAAGTAAACAGGCTGTAGGACCTTTGCACTTGGACCTCCGGCGGGAGCAGAGGGGACTTGCTTCGCTTACCCAGATTTCATCTCGCCGCTCGCCTGGCTCGCGCGGCTCGAGGCGACTGAAGGCATGAGTTGCAAGCCCTGAGCGGGAGAAGGAGTTCTCCTCTCGCAAGTCTGCCTGGCAGTGCAAGTAACTCCAAGAAAGTTCCCACATTGGCATGCCGCGTGGCACCATGGCATAACAATCTCTTTTCCCTACTGGCACACGTGCTTTGAAAGAGCATTGCTTCCTTCGGAAGCTGCTCTTAAGGCAGTGCAGTTCCACAGCTAGGAGCGAGTGGCGGGAGAGCAAAACCTGGGCGTAAAATCGGAAGTCTGCTCCTAAGTGACGCGGCTGAGCGTCTCCGCAGGACACGTCAAATTGAACCATCGGAATTCACGGGGCATCGCTATTCGAGGAGATCCTTCCGCCCAGGTCGTTTGCGAAACTCCATGTTGGCTGCCAGCCTCGGCCTAACAAAGTCCAGATTGACATTGAACTCGCCAGGCTGAGTGAACGATTCCTGTGTCTTCTCGGACCGCGGTAGCAGGGACATTGGGTAACATGGCTGCCTGTAGAACTTCCCAAACTTGGCACACTTCTTGTGAGCTTCCTCAAACCCCGATGAAGAAATCGCTATGGTGTCATGGTAAACGATGTTCGCAGATTCCATAAGGTCTGGTCGTGGAAGCTGCTTGGACATGTTTACCTCAGTCGCTGGATTTCGTCAGCACAGCTAAGAATAACAAGCTGCTTGCATTGCGTCGGGGGGCAAAAACGATCTGTTTCTTTCGGGCCAGGGGATTTTCTGGCAAACCTTCTGGAAGCTCGCGTCCAGGGTTGTCCAGCAGATGCTCATAGGGTTGACCTGCACGGATAATATTCGATAGCTATCGCAGTGTCCCTGCTTCGTGCTCTGCAAGATGGACTGTAGTACGCTGCCTTGGGCACGAAGCTGCTCTGCCAGAACAACTCTGCGGCTGCGCGTGATCTCGCGAGATGCGAAGCTGCAGCCGTGAGGGGGTGGATGTTTGACCTGTGAAGTCAGAGTACAGAGTACACGGATGTACACGGCTCGCTCTGCGACGCTCTGCGACGCTCTGCGACGCTCTGCGACGCTGAGCGTCAAACCCGGCTGAGAGCTGCGGTGCAATCGTCCTTCGGCGAGTAGCTGCCTCGGTGTACGACACAGCAAGGCCAACGGACCCCTCCCTGAGCTGGGCCGCAAACCGACAGGAGGCACTTCATCACTTTTCATGCGTTTGTCCAGCTCCTCCAGGACAGTCTCAGGACAAATCAATGCCCATGCACCATTGGATAGCACTCCTCCCGGCCAAGCGAGCGGAAGGCACTCGTGTACCGCAAAGGAGCCACCTCATGGAAACCAAGCGCCCTCCCCAAATCCCTTGACAAAGTCCCAAAACCTTCCGACTCCCGCGCCTGTCTGACATGGCTTGGGCTGGGCGGCACTGCCTCGGCGAAGTCTTCCACCTGTCGACCGAAACTCCGAGCAAACTTCTTCTGGCTCAGTAATCACAAGGCACTACCGCAGCATTTGCGCATCGGCCTTGCCCTGCTTCGTCTCAGACTTGACCTTTCTTCGCGAGAACCTTTGCACGAGGTCTTGCGTCGAAGTGGTCGAACCTGCATTTGCCCCGACCAGCTTGCTTTGCACGGCTGGTAGCAACTAGAGCAGTACAGAGCAGTGCTGTAAAACAGCTACAGTAGACTGGCCAACCCTACATACATCAGGTTGCCCACAGAGGTCCACAACCGCATCGGCTATTCCCCCAAAATTCAGCCATTTCAACAGATGCCCTCATGATTGAAAGATACACCAACAACTTCTGACGGAGTTTGGACCTGGGCCTGTCGGGAGCGAAGAATCCAGCACAGAGCTGGAGAGTGCTCTCGTGGCCACTGTGGGCTTGGTGGTAGCTTCCGCGTCGACTCCAAGTCTCTTCTTCAGCGTGTCAATGCTCTGCGCAGTCTTGCGCCCGACGTTGCTGAAGCTCTTGTTGGTGAACATGCAGTATGCTCAATACGCATACTCTTCATCCACGCGCAATCGCCATGGCTTTAGCCACTGCCGGCACTTGGCCACTTACCTTTGCAGCTGGTGCCCAAACCAGCAAGGTGCAGTGTTAGAGAGATTGCAACATCCCGCAACCATCGAAAGCGGCGCTGCATGCAAAAACTGCCAGGCCTCCCATGACAGCCTAATCCTGCACATGGCAGCCAGGAGCGGGGCAAAGCAAATTGAGTGCATTGCATGAGAGTGGCATGTGAGGGCGCTCTTCCAGGCCGATTGGGCGGTGCCTGGGCCCCTGTAAGGTGATGCTGTCGGCCTCGCATGAGGTCGAGAAGTGACTGGATGTGACTATGATGTGACCGTGCAGACCAGCAGACTGAGCACTGGGCTGCCGCTGCCGTCAGTTTCAACAAGGGAAAAAGCAACAGCCAAGCCGCCCAAGCCTGGAGCACAGAGAGAGGACCCTGTGTATCGATGCAAACGGGTACACCGACCTTCATGGAAGCTTTCTAATCGGAGGCAACGCCGGTCGCGTCCCTCCAGCTTGGACTCTGCGCGGCCGCGACTGTCAAAGCGCACTTTCGTCGGAGCACTGTGAATCTGCCATGAATGTCCAGGAGCGTCGGGCTCAAATGCGGGCGAGGGCAGTGACATGCGGCCTGTACAGCAGCTTTTTGCAAATTCGTGCCAGTAAGCGTGTCGATTGTTTTGGCATCTTGTGAAACACTGACCGACACCGGTCCCATCTGAAGCGCTGGAATGGCCAGCAGCACGCTGCCGCAGTCTAAGAGGCTGCCGAGCTGGGCGGGGGCTGGGCTCCCCCTGGTTGACCTGGCGATGGACTTGAGAATGACGCACATCCAGCTTCACGCAGGCTTTCACGCCTTCTGCATATCCCCCTGCGGGAGCTGGGCCAGGTCCAGCGCCGGGTCCCCCCAGCTTGGCCAACCGCGCAGCCCGCATGGCCTGGAGAAAGACGAGCAGGGGTCTTCGTGGAAGGCAAGTATGGAAGCGCAAAAAAAAGCTCATCTGTCCTCTGCAGAGCTGACAGTTGCTCCTCCAGTAGCCTGCAGCTATCACAGTTGAAAGGGCTGCAACTGCACCACGCAGTAGGCCTGCCCGGGGGTCTTCCAGACTTTGTCGGGATCAATCTCGTCGCAAACTTTCTCCACGTCGAAGCCCTCAGCCTGCAAAAGCACCCCAGAGCCAGAGAGAGGCGACATGTTTCAAGATGCGAGAATCTGCTCCTTCGGATTCGGCTGGTACTGCCCACCTGAGGCTGCCTGCACAGTTTTTGGCGTGCCGAATGTCAAACTTGCCAAAGTTGCAACTTGCATCGTGCAGCTGTCACTCTTGCCTGCACGATCCCCATTGCCGATGCCCCTGTCATCTTTGCACGTGCAATCAAGCCGCTCTTCAACCTCTGTCGTGCCCTGCGAGACCGTGCAGAACACCCGGCATGCTCTTCAACGCGCACCCGGAGCAGAACACTTCCTCTTGAAGCTCGTGCATCGCTTAAGCTGAGGCTTGAACTGGCTTGCCCCTTGCTTTCGTGCCACCCCAGGCGACGTCTTCAAAATGCGGATCGTGTTGGAGACATCAGCTCACAACGAACCCGTTTCGCGAAGCGGACCAGCAAGCGCCAGTTTGTTGGACTCGCCCTGCGAAGTTTCGAAACCGACACGACAGGCTCCGCCGAGTGCTCGAGCGGTGCTATGTTTGCCCCAGTTCTCCCAGGGTCGGCAGACGAATCACTGCCGACACGCAGAATGAAGACGCTCCATCAATGTAAAGTTTCAGCACATCTTTTTGCCCATTTCGACACAAGCCAGGATGAGCACGGCGCTTAGCGCAGACTGCCCTCAAACTCCAACACCTTTGGCGTCGAAGACAAAACCATACAAAACCAGCGGAGGAAAAACGCTGGCGCAAGTTCTCCATGCGGCCATGCGTCTGACTCTGGTTGTCACGCCTCACTCATTTGCATGCTGATTCATTATGCCTGCGGCAACACATCAAATTGTCACGGTCTTGGGTAGGCTCGCACAAGTCTTTCACAAAAACTTCACATAATTTCACATAGTCGCTGTCGTACCTGACACTGCCCTCAACTATGCTCCGATTTCCGCCGACCACAACACCTGTGACACATGCACCAAGACACGCCGATGTGCTCGGCACATCAACGTCCCACACTTCGGAAGTTGTAGGTGCCAAGAAGGTCTGTCTCGCTTCTTTGTGACCAGATGCCTGACACATGGGCACGGATGGAGCTTGTGCAACTGACCCGCAAATGGACCACGAGACAGGCTCGGGAAATCCAGTCACCTGCCCCAAGACGAAGTGTCTTGGCCTCTGAGATGCCCAGGAACGGGATCCTGCGAAGGGAAGTATTCTGTAAGGCTCATCAAATAAAGGCTCTGAAGATACCCTGCAAGATCTCCAGCCTCCGCTGCTTGAAAGGAGTTGTCCGAAATCGCTCCTCTGTCAAACAGGCAGCCGCAGCAAATGCATCGAAAATCATTCCCACCCTCAGCGTGGCCTGCTGCTCAGGCTGGCGGCCAGGCTTGCCATACTTCTCCAACCAGGCTGCTAAGGAATGGACACTGGTATCGGCCCGAGTATTCCTCACCATCCTGCGAATCGAAAGCATGCCCCGGCAACGACTGAGCCATCAGTGCCTCAAGCTAGGGGTTGGTACCTGTAGTCCTCCTGCATGGCTTTGTCTACGCTTGCCTTCGTGGGCATCACCATCGTCACAAGTCAATGTGATATCCCATGATATCCTGTTGCCTGCTTGGTCGAAATCTCGCTGGCAATGCTCTGCATTTTGCGCATGCTCTTCTGGTAATCGGCGCTCTGCCCATCTTGCGGAGGCACGTGCCTGGTCAGCTAAGAGGAGGGACTGCTGTTTTGAGCGGCGTCTTTTGCTCGGAACCTGTACTTGGGGCCACCCCACGAGCGGCTGGCCAGTGTGTCCTTAAATCCAGAGGATCGACATGCAGCCAAGCTAATCCTGAGGGTCTCGCCTTCTGCAGTGCTTTGGCATTTCCTGACATTATGGACTCCGGCGAGTTAAGCATGGAGACATGAAGCTTCTGCAGTGCCTTGCTGAAGATGCAGCTCTGCTTTGACTTGCTTGCCCCACTCTTTGGCCATCTCGGCCTCCTGGACAAGAGACTACGCCCACGAGTCCACGAGCACCAGCCAGACAAGAGAGAGAGAGAGAGACGAAGTGTCTGTTTGTTTCTGTGTGTGTGTGTGTTCTGAGCTTCGTGCCTGTTTCATGCTCTCCAGCTTCGAAGCAGAGATCGACCGCTGCTGCAGCCTCGGCAGTCATAGCTATACGTCGATACGCTATGCACAGGCTCGCTGCCCAGCAGAGTTGCCGAGGCCGAGGCCTATGCGGAGCATCCAAGCTGAGACGACATATCCCATCCTGACACGCAAATACTCGCCGATGCCATACCATCACAGGAAAAAAGGATTGACATGTATGAGCGACCTCTGCACGCTTCTTGCTCGAGTAGCCATCCATATCTACGAGCAAGGCCCGATCTTGAGAATAACGCTGCCGAGGCCAACAGCGTCACCCCACCAGCACCAGCAGGCGAACTAGCGGGCAAATTACGCAACTGCTAAGAGAATTACATGTACCCCTGCCTAGCTTCTCCATTGCCCGGTACTTCTTGTCCAGGCGCCTGGCATGCCGCACGCACTAGGCACCTTTGATGTTCAGAATGGGGAAGAAAAGAAACAATGGAAGCATGCCAGAACAGCTTGTGAAGAAGGTAGAAAAGAGCACAGTCCGAAAACGAATTGCAATTCTTGCGAAGCCTGCAGCCATGATGGTCGTGACTCGGTTGTATTTGACGTGTCTCTGGGGCCCATGCAAGTCATACCTTGCCAAGAAGCAGGTCAGAATAAGACGACAAAGTGTGCATGCACCAAAACGCATCAATGCATCGTTTGCCAGCAATGCAAACATAATAAGCTGAGCACGTGCCGGAGAGGAAGAAGCGTTCCAGCACTGATTTCATCTGCGTGCCCGTGTATGGGGACATGCCCATGTCAAACACCTGGCCGCTTTGCTGGTGCTGCACACATCCGCAACAGGCCGCAACTGCACATCTTCGGCCTCGGGCTTCGAGTCTGGGTTCTGGGGATTCTTGTGCGACTGCAGCCCGCTTCCAAAGGAGATGCCGCCATCGCTGAAAAAGTATTCCTCCACAACCCACGGCTTGCAAGCAGAGCTTGAAAGTGCTGCTTCCCATTGCTGCCGTGCTCTAAGACAGGCACATCCCCATTCACGATCACCGAGGAATGATACGCTGTTGCCTTTGGGGAACGATCACTCCGCACGGGCCACACGAACTAAACAAGGCGGCTCCACTCCGGGAACTCCCCCGAGTGGGCTCACTGCGAGCTGCACCTGTCGGAACGATTCCGAACAGTGGAGATCACGACATCACGCGAGACCCTGGTGCCTGATTGTTTGCCGCACGACCCTTCCCGTGGCTGGAACTTGTGGCATCTCCTTGGTTTGCAGCTGTGGGGTCCGTTGCGCTGTGCCTCCATGGACTCCACCTGGCTGTTGGCCAGCTGCATCCTTGCCAGCTGATGCCAGCTGCATGTGTCAAGTCGCATATCACCCGCTGCAGGGCCTTCGCTGCGGACTGCTGACCGCCCATCTTGCTCTGTCACCTACAGAGCCTTCCAAAATAGCTGCTGCGGAACAAGAGCTTTTCTCCAGTTATGATTGCAGCACTCACGGACGCAGAGATCAGTCTGAACACAACGACCGCGCAACGAAGCATCTGGGTGCGCCCATCCTTTCCGAAGAGAATGTCTGCACCTAAATGCGATTACTTTGGAACCCCAAAGTGACATCGATGCCTCTGGCATTGAGCAAAAACGGTGAAACTGCCCGGCGGGAGCCACCCAAACTCGTGTTGTCTGCACGGTTGCAACGGCGGTTCTCCCGCTTCCTCTTAGGGACCCAGTTTCGTAAATGCTGCGGATCCCGGCGTTCGCAATCGGCACCGGGCCCTGCAGCGATTCCGCTTAAAGCTCCCGCCGCCTTCGGCGGCAGGAGCAAATCAAATTGTCAAGATGTAAGCATTTGTGTCCATAGAAGTCACAGACTAGTCAAAGCATAAGAACTGCCGACAGGTTGTCAAACCTCGGAGTGACAAGCTACGGCCGACGTAGTACGGACAGATGCGCGCGGCTGACAACTGTAGGAAACACGCTCTGACCGTGACAAGTCGTGTTGAGGCAACTACAGTAGCAAGCACAGCCACGATAGACCGAACAAGTTGCTACCTCGCGAGATTGAATTTCACATGGGCACGGATCTGGTAGTGTCTTGCTTGGCCCCATGGGCAAAGCCGCTGTGGCTGTTCCTGCGTGGTTTACCTGGTTTGGCGTTGACTAGATTTCAGCTGCTCCCATTTCTTGTCGTTGGCGCTCGGGTTTACAATTGCAAGCGGTTGGGACTTCTCTGAAATTTGGGCCCCGGACAAGATGGACTCGAACTATTCGGTGACGTACTCCGTCGTGTCCATGCCCTGTCCAGAGGAGCTGAGTTCGCGGATTTAACCACAGAAGAGTGCTGCGGCATTCAGCTACTACCACTGAGAATTGAGGACTCCAAGCTCCAAGGGTCTAGAGCGGGATCTATCTCTTCCCGAGGCAGTATTCGATCAGCCTAGCATTGACGCTGCGGACTTTACGGAGACCCATGACCTAATCGTCCAGTGCATGAAAATTCCTCGAAGTTCGAAGCAACGATTTAGCTCCAGAAGCCAACTGTGCACCTAATGATTTGTCTTCAGGTTTCACATGAATGAGCCTACTGTGGAAGCCCTCCCACAGGGAAAGATGTTGAACCTGGCATAACCTACTTCCAGGCACCTCGGCTGCCACAGTGGCTTTCTTCATCAATCCCGCGGTTGCCATTGCTTTCATGACTTTCGAAACCTGCGCTCAAGAGGGAAGCGGATCGCGAACGCCGCTGTAGTGGGCGAGAACGGGGAGATGGGTGGGCATCAAGGCAGGGCCGCTCATGCGAAATGCCATTTCCGAGATGAGATGCAGGAGAGTCAATGCGAAAGCTCAGAACTCAGATGAAGCTCATCAGTGGTGGTGTGTCACCTACCTTCTCCAAACATTCTCAATTTGGATCCTCATGGTACGTAGGAGGACCTTACTTGCATGTACATATAGTTGTCCCAACTCGGTTTAAAAAAAAGAAGCTAGCAGGCGGGCGCCTTGCTGTCCAGCTGTTTCAGACCTGCTTGCATTGCCATCTGGTCGAAAGCCCGGGCGGGACCTGCCATAATTTCAATTGGTATCTTCATGTGGCTGCTTCAAGCTCGCATGGTCAGACAGACCTACTCGAAAAAGCCATGGATAAAGTCACACAACAGCATCAAGCCATTCCTCGCCTTTGCACCGGAGAATGCCCCCGATGAACTCATCCAACGTACATTCGCCGTCTCCATCATCCAGGATTCGGAAAAGGGCAGCACAATCCTGACAGACTTGCTTCATGTCCGTTCTAGTTGCGTTTTGCTGCCAGACCTCATGGCATGGCCTCATAAGATCGAGGAGCATTCCAGTTCCCCGAAGTCGCTGTATTCCGAATAGTCACGCAGCACTTTGGAGTGTCGGCTGCACTCTTGGCTCGCTGAAAGGTACGGTAGTCACGAGTGGATCTTCCGATTGCGGTTTCTTATTTGCAAGAGCACGCAACCGACGACTCTGGTGACGTTGATTGAGGCCAACCCAAACAGGAACGGTAAAGCACTGCAACCTCAGTACCTGAAAGAAACTTGCAAGCGCATGGACACAGCATGAAAATCCTGCCGCAGGACATTCTTTTGCGTGGAAGGTCGACGCGAAACTGGAGCGCCAGACGACTCAAATTTGTTCAAATCTTCCGCACACGCTTCGCACAAAGACTGTGTGTCTATGCTGTTCCCCATGTTCAGTGCTGCTGTTTGGCTCTGTCAGAAAGAAACGCAGGCGCAGGCCGGATCTTATTCATTCTCCGTCACAGCATAGCCGAAGGGCACTGCTCCAGCATTTCATACTAGAAGCACACTGCATATTCCACAGCGCTTGCAGCATGCTAGTTAGATGGCATGATGGGACGACACAGCCGCGTTAAGACTTGCGGCTAGGGTGCTCTAGTCAAAGCAGCAGTGCGAATGTATAAACCAGTCACAACAGCAACTGCAGAAGTGACCTCTGCGGTGGGATGGCCGAACCCGAACCGACACCGCAACGTCAGGTCATTAAGGTGCGGGAAGCGAATCACTCCCGCCTCTTCCATGTTGAAGCCTAAGCTTTCGAAGCATCTCCTCATATCAGGATTCTCCAATGACCTGAAGCCAGGTTACTGCTCGGCATGCGTGGCAACTCAAAAAACTATTGACAAAACGGCTGGAGCTTCAGAACAGTGCAATGCAGGCCAGCGTCTGCACGAACTCCTGGCATCACGAAACTAGGGCTGCTATCGCATCACAACAACCTGAACTCGTCTGCTAGTGGCTGCGCAGCGCAAATTCGGGAGCGTCCTGCCAAGATATGGTTCCATTCTTCTCTTGGTCCACATGCCTCAAGACTAGAGGCACGGCGCCGCACTCATGGCCACTACACAGAACAAGCTTTGATTGGCCGCTCGAAATGAATCTGACAACCACCTGTCAAACTTGCACGCGACAAACCAAAAGACAAATGCTGCACCTCGATCTAAGAGATAGTGTTCCGCACACGCAGTGACAAAGCCTGGAGTCTAGCTGCTTGAACATCTCGTCCAGCTGTGCACGGACTTCCTTCTCCTCATCTGCTCTGGTGGACTGCAGGGCTGATTCCACGAAGATACCTGGAAACGACATGATTCCTGCTGACAGTCTCTGCAAGCTTGCATGGCATGGACTACCTCCTGCGTGCCTGTCACCACGTTCATCATCGCCAGCACTGCAAACGCTATGTATAGAACAAAAACAGCAGCCAGCCACGGTGAGATTTGCTCCTGCAGCGGAGCCATAAGATCAGCCCAATCAATTCCACCTGTAATGCCTGCAAACAGGGATACCAAAGCTTGCGGCAGCGAGCCATAGTGGCTCTTCATATCCGGGGAGAGCAGCATGATTCTTGGCTCTTCCAAACCTTTGTCAGCGATCATCTGTGTCAAACAGACGCCAACACCATACATCAGGAATGCCAACAGGATGATGGTCCACATTAGCGACTTCAAAGACGCCACGATGGACATGACCATTGATCGCAGCTCTTGAACAAAGCGCAACAAGCGCATGAGGCGAAGAATCCGCAGCAAGCGCATGAGACGGATGATCCTCATGAAGGATAAATTGCCAGTGTCGGCCGAAGCATTCTCGTCGCCGACAGCCAGCGTTGACACAATATCAATTAGTTGCAGAGCCACAACAATCGAGTCAAACACATTCGACTTCCACTCTGCTGTCCGGAAGAAGTGGACGTGGTAGACAAAAATCCGCATTGCCAACTCGCACGTGAAAATGACTGCGAATATGTTCTCGAATATGTCAAATATCGCCGGCGCTGTTTGGCCGATGTTTGAGACCATCCAATCAGCTTGGATGCCCATCATCACAGCATTTAGCACAATAAAGGCAATGATGACATAGCCGAAGCAGGTGTTCTCGACAAAGTTGCGACGGACGAAGTCCCGAAGTCGTTCTAAAGCGCTCATGGCAGGAAGCGCGTCCTGCATATCAAGGTAATCATCAGAAATTCACTCGTCACTTGCCACTAGCTGCCCCTCGTGTCACTAGCTCACTAGTTGAGTCCAAATGAGTCATTGCACCTGGTAATACGTGGTATACCTGGAGTGTCACAACGCCGGATTAATCGTGTATCGGCCTCATCTGACTGCGGGAGCTTCGCATCTGGAGAATCCGGCACCACACCACTTGGGGCGACTTTCTCCACGCCTGGCACACCCGACGGTGCGATGCAGCAAATGTCTGTCCAACCCCTCATTTCCTAAGCGCAATGCGGCACCTGTCCCTCGAGCCGTCGACTTGAGCGACTTGCGACTCTGAGCTACAGCTGCCCCAGTTTGGCTGGCAAAGCGGCGTTTGGACTTCCTGAGGGGTGCGTGCTTCCATGCTAGCGCAGGCACTTTCCTCTTGCTGCATCTGCTCTGCGTCAGAGGCTGAGCTTCAAGCTTTGGGGCCCCGTTCTCATCGGACACCATGCCAGGGAGCTTCGCATCCTACAGTGACACACTGCCTCACAAAATCTCTCCCGCTTTTGGCAGCCCAGGCTCACACCCAAGGCTCCTTGTCCTCCGTCTCAGGTTGCTCAAAGGCGAACTGCACTGGTTTGCAGGGAGCCGCTGGGGCCGAGGGTGGAGTATGCGGCCTAAGCCGATGCGAAAAACTCCGGAAGGAACCCGTGGAACCCATGGAACCCTGAGCCGATCTTTGTGGCCCTAGCAGTGAGGCTCTGACCTGGGCGGGCTGGCGCGCTCTGCGAGCACCGTACGCTCCGCGCTCTCCTCGAGCTCCTGGCAGCCGTGCTTCCAAAAGGCTTAGAACGCTTACAGTGTATTGGGGCGCATCGCATAACCTATTCAAGCGGTTTCGAAACCTCTTATCTCGACGGTATGGCGAACGTCCAGCGGACCCGACAAAACCCGATGCATGCTCCCACCCTTTCTGCGCTGCCTTCCGCAATCAGCAGGCTTGCAAACGTTTCAAAGCACGCCGTCGCAATCACCGTGAGCACAAAAGCCCAGGACTTGAGTCGGCTCTGAAATATTGGGGGGTTCACAAGCGATCGAAACGGACAAGATGCGCACTGGCCGAGGTGCTGTGAATCGAAATCGACATCATGTCAGTGCTAAATCTCTGCGCATTTTTCGACTTTGCCTGCAGGTGCGACACTGGCGCCGCAGGATGCGGAGGTCTTTGCCTGCAGGGCAGCCGCATCTTTGGCTCTTGGGGCGATGTCGCATGCAAAGGCCGAGGCCTGAAAAAATGAGAGAGATCCTCCCTCAGTCCACTCCTGAGGCGCTCTTCATGAGCGTGCAACTCCTGCTGTAGCCAGCCTTGAAAGACCTAACAGGGAGATCAGGCGACTGCAACCGTTTGGCACCTAAGGAGCCCAAAAGGATCCAGTCCAAGAGGCATGCAGGGTACTTTGCTGCTCGGGCTGCTCAAATATCTCGTCGCCACTGCTTTTTGACTGTGCCTCTTGCACCAGCGTGGCCAGCTGAGACTGCGCCTCACGAGTTGCTGAAAACAGGCTGCCACCACAATTCGCCACATTTGCCTCGGGCGCCGCGGAGTTGAGATCCATCCGTTTAGAATTCCATCGGCATCGAGTGAGAATCTAAACTCAACCACAAAGTTCGGCTCGGCTATTCTCAAGCTTGCAACATGGCAAAGATGTCGGCATGTCAAGAAGCGCTGCCTCTCGTCATGAGGTTTCTCAGGTCTTCAATGGCTGCATTACGCATCCGCATCAGCGTCTTGTTGGAATGAAACGTCCATACAGTCATGAGTTGCTGTCTATACAGAGATTCTCCGCCTAGCTCAGCGACCTTTGCAACACAAAGCCTACTCATATGCAAAATGTGACGAAATCCCCGATGTTCGTTGGGATTGGCCTGCAGCTTTGGCAGGAACGCACAGATGATATGTACACTGCGTCCAAGGAAAGCTGCAAACGCAGCCTTGCCCGACATGTGGCGTAACCTAACCTCAGGAGGGCCGCTCCCGGATTACGGATCGGCTTCCTCTCACCTTGCTTCGTCGGTGAACCCTCTGCAACTCTGGTAAATCTGCAGGGACAGGTCCTGGAGCAGCGCAAACAGGCAAGGCTTTCAATTTCCAATACGACATCCTGCGGGTGCCGGGGGTGGCTGGTGACGTAATTGCGCGTCTGCGGAGATGAACTGCAGAATCGAGGCCTGACGTACATCTGCCGTGCTCAGGAACGAATGCATGGTGCTGAGGTCTGGCCACCACGGGAATAGCCATGAGGGAAAGAAGAACTGCAGACACCAAAGCGGAATTGTCGGTCTCCTGCCGTGTGTCAGACAGATTCGACGGCATCACAACTGCGCTGTCAACATGCAAATGGATCGTCAAGCTGCCAGGCCGGCCGAATTGCCATCGTGAGTGTCGGCGACATTCGAATGCACGCCTCTGCGTACAAGTGCACAGACAAGTTGTCGTCTCAATTCTCGAGGTGCGCACACTGCGTGCCTTGTTCAGCTGTCAAATTTAATACAGATCCATTGTACTCTACGGGCCTCAGAAGCTGAGAAGCCGAAGCGTGACACTGCACACAAGTTTGCAAGTGCAAAACTGTTCAGGATCCGACGGCATGACAAGCTCCGTCCATCTCAGCGTCACCTCTGAGAGCCCCTGGCAGACATGTAAGAAGAGATCCGACAGAAGGATAGTTGGCATGAGCATCTTTCTGAGTGAGATTTGTAGGTTTCCAGCCATCGCCCTCGACATCAGTCTCTCAGATAGGTCTTGAGTGGAGTGAACTCGAACCCCCAAATAGCGAGAAGCCGCAAAACCTGAAAGGCAAATAGATGTGTGGGCAACATTAAACCCCCAAACGGCAGATGTTGTGCCGAAACCGCTCGCAGCCACTGACACTGTGCAAACAATGATGAGGATAAAAATCGAAACTCCCATTTGTTTCACAGCGGTTTCATGACAATACACAGACATGAAGCTCTGTGCTGACTGCCCTTCTAGTCAAGCGGGTACATGGTCTGCAGAAACACACGGTGTCGAATCCCAAACCCCCTCTCATCAAACGAGTCCAAGAAGCGGCCATCCCTCAAACCTACCCCTTCATCATGCGATTCGGGGATCTCGTTCATTCCCCCTCATCACATCTCAAAAGATACCACACTTTTCGCAACAAACACATACAACGTGTTCGGGAGAGCTCTACCCTAAAAGGAAAGGGGGCAAGCCTCAAATACAAGAAAGGTGTCGGCCTAGCTTTAGACCCACCTCCAGCGCAAAATAAGTGTTGGTCTACGTTGCTTGGCCAAGTTCAAGCACGGGATGGCTCCGTGTAGAAGAATGGGGCGAAAATGAAATTGACAGAAGGCGCATGGATCCTTTTGACAGCAACAACCGTTCACGTGTGTCGCACACTTGAAGGAACTCACAGTAAGGACGTCACCGAGTTTAGCGGAGAACATCAAACTCCTTGGACGGTGATGCCTTGCGTTCTTGTTTTCTCCAGAGTGGTTGCGTCTCACCTGGCCGTCCTTCTAGTCTATCCAACGTTTTCGTCGATGCGTGCACAGAAAAATCACTACTCCGAGCATCCCCGGCCAGTACTGTAGTAGGAGCTGTGGTAGAAGAAGCAGTAGCAGTAGCAGTAGCAGTAGCAGTAGCAGTAGTAGCAGCAGCAGCAGCAGGAGTAGTAGCAGTAGCAGTAGCAGTAGCAGTAGCAGTAGCAACTGCAGTAGCAGTAGCAGTAGCAGT